GACTGTGCTCCCTTCTGTGCTGTGCTGCATGCCGCCTGTTGCTGTGGGCGTGGCAGGAGGAGATGGAGAAGGAGGGCGTGTGGGATTTCAACCGCCTCTGCGACCCCTACGTGCGCTGCCACCTGCTGCAGGTGCGCTCTCCTCGCCCCGCCTTGCCCCTCTGCTCTCGTTGTTCTTTGTTGCTACTTGTACACCGTTCCTCCATTTGTTTTATTGTGCATTTTTCACTGCCTTGCTCTCACCCTTTTTTAGAAAGGTTACTGATTCTTTAGGTTCTGTGTGTATATGTGAATGTGCGTGTGCATATGTGAATGTGCGTGTGTGCACATGTGTGCATGCACGTATGTGTGTCCATCTGTGTGGACATGTGCATCAGGAGAAGTTTGGCCAACGGTGGGCAGAGATTGCTTCTAAGTTCTTTGAGGAGTACCAGCACCTCTGCTACAGGGTAATGTGCCTCACCGTAGTTCAAGCATGCAGAATACAGCATTCAAAATATGGTGTTTAAGTTTGCCAAAAGTGTACAGGATCTAGCGTATCGTTGCGCGAGCGTGCATCATCCAGCTCTCAGCATATTGTTGCCGGCGCGTTCAATGCACCGTTTTCACGCGATGGTTGCTTACTAGAGTGATTCTTAAGCCTGCGAATTGTTCTTGTGCTACTTGGCACCCCACACACTGCACACTGCACACAACACGTGAACCTTTGAACCTTTCTCCTGGCAGTTCAAGAAGGAGTATGACACGGAGAAGAAGATTGTGGCAGCAGTGCAACCCAGAGAGGGGTCGCCAGAGTGGCTCGAGGAGGAGGCCAAGGAGACGCGCAAAGGCCTGCTCTCGCTCTTCCAGGTGCTGCCCCTCCCTCCTCCTACTCCTCCTCCGCCTCCTCTGTGTGCTCTCTTCATCTCCCTTCTTCATGTGTTCATGCCAATCTGTTCCACAGTGCATCTGCGACTGCTGCTTCTCAGGCCTTCCCCGCCACGGCCTTCCTTCCCCCGCCTGCCCCCTCTCTCATCCATCTGCTCTGGCCTCCGCTCTTCTCTCAACCTCCAAAACCTCCCCGTCTCTTTTCCCCCTCCCTACTCGCATGTCTGGGCTGGGCAGAGTGTGGTGTTGATCCGCACGCAGGACGACCCGCGCAAGTTCTACCCGCGCTTTGACTGTGAGAAGACCGCCAGCTTCATGGAGCTCGATGAACACACGTGCGTGCAGAGGGGTGCACAGGGGTTGCAGGGGGTTGCAGGAGGTTGAGGGGGGTGCAAAGGGAAATGCAGGTCGGGGGGAAGGAGGAGTGGAGTGGAGCATGGCAAGGGTGGAGGGGAGATAGGAGACGGGTTATGGTTTGTCTGTGTGATGCTCTATGTGTGGTTATGATGCTATGTGTATGCATCTTCCGTGTTGGGGTTGACATCCAGGCTTCTCGTTGTTGCTGTGAGCAGCAGAGCGTCCCACCTGCTACCTTCTCACTGCACCACTTTGTTTAGCTCTAGGCAACAAGTCCCAGGTAACCACCCTCTGCTCCCATTCGCCACCTCACCGCCTCCCTCACGCCCACATTCACCTCCCCTTCTGTCTGCTCCCCCACCTCTCCTCCCCCACCTCTCCTCCCCTGTCCCATCCATTCCCCGGCCCCCATCATCCGCTCCTCCTATTTCCCCCTTCCTCCATGCGGCGCGCAGCAAGGCGGTGATCAAGAGGCTGTGTCTGGACTACTACTACTCGCGGCAGGAGAGCCCGTGGTGCAGCAAGTTGACTTATAAATTGACTCAAAGGCCTCTTTCCTCCCCGCTCCCACCTCCTCCCCTTCCCATGTCCCCCACAGCAAGGCGGTGATCAAGCGGCTGTATCTGGACTACTACTACTCGCGGCAGGAGAGTCTGTGGCGCAGCAACGCGCTCAAGACGCTGCCCGTGCTCATGAACGCCTCCGACATGCTCGCCTGCGGGGAGGACCTGGGGCTCGTGCCTGCCTGCGTGCCGCCCGTACGTGCCGTGCTGTGGCGTAGTGGTGGCGTTATGCCTCGTGCTCTCTCTTTGCCATTTGGTTCGCTGCTGTGCTGTCTGCCCGTGCTTGCTCGTCATTACACCACCTGCACCCGTTTCCCTCACACTGCTCTGCCCTTTGGTGCGGTATTCGCTGCCATTCGTTGTAGTAATCCCTCCCATCCCCCTCCCTACCATCCTTCCCCATCCATGGGTCATACATACTCCCCTCTGGCAGGTGTTGGCGGAGTTGGGGCTACTGGGGCTGCGCATTCAGCGCATGGCCACCAAGATAGGCCAGGACTTTGGCAACCCTGCAGAATACGACTACATGACGGTGCGTGGGGGCTCTTTGGGGGCTTATGCCTGCCACCTGCTTTATGGTCTGCACTGAAGGGATTGTTTAGAACAGACACAATGTCTGTTTAAGGGAATATTGTTGGTTGTTGCACATTTTTTTTTATCAGTTGGTCCTTTCCGTACAAAGCACGAGGAGCAGCATACCAACGCAATCGTTTCCTCTCTGTAATTCCTTTTCTCCGTGCCTCGCCCGTTGCCCCCAGGTGTGTGCGCCGTCGTGTCACGACACGTCAACGCTGCGTGCATGGTGGGAGGAGGAGCCTGAGAGGCGTCACAAGTTCTTCCGCTCCGTGCTCGGCTTCAGCTCTCCCGCCCCCGACCGGTGCTCCCTCCGCTGCCCCCACCACTGCATCCCTCTTTTGCATTCTATATATGTTCGATTCAACGCATTTTATTTCCCTCCCATTGTGTGCAAAAGGCATTACATTCTGCAGTGCCTGGTCCTTCTTTTGTCACACACTTGTCTATCGCTCATTTCTCTCCAGATTCCACCACCTGCCACGCACCAATTCCACCTCTCCGACACCCCTCTGCCTCCCCTCCCCGCCGTGCTGACATCCCATGTGTGCACGCCCTCCCCCTTCCCCATGGACCCTGGCTGCAGGTGTACACCGGACGTGGCGAGGGCAATCATCCAGCAACACTGTGATGCTCCCAGCGTGTGGGCCATTTTTCCCCTGCAGGTGCGCTGCTCTCTGCTGCTTGCTGCTGGTTGTGTGCTGCTTTTTGTGTGCTGCTTGCTCCTTGCTAGCCCTGCAGCTACCCCTTCTTCTTTTAGCAACACTGCATCCATCCATGTACTCACCCATGCACTGTGCCTGTATTCTGCACTTGCCCATGCCATGCCCTTCCCGATGCGTTCGCTGTGCAACCCTGCTGCTCCATCTTTAATCCTATACCACCACTCTGTGTGCATGTTCATGGGGGTTATCAGGACCTGATGGCATTGAGGGAGGAGTACTTGACGCGGCCAGCAAACGACGAGACCATCAACGACCCCACCAACCCTCGCCACTACTGGCGATTCCGTGAGATGCTCCTTCCACCCTTGCCTGCTCCCTCCCTCTCTTTGCTATTGACTCAGCCTGCATCCCTCAGTGGCATATTGCTGTGTTTGCCCTTACCTGCTCATGCTTGCCACACAAAATCCACTCCATTCGTTTCGCTGCAAGCAGCCCACGTTTCCACATGCTGTGCGCACCACACACAAAGCATGCCCAACCTCTCCACTGCACTGACCCTCCTTTCTTTTCCATCCCTCCACCCCTCTCACGCCCGCCCTGTGCCCACCGTGCAGGCGTGCATGTGCGGTTAGAGGACCTAGTGGCGGACACAGCACTCATCACCAGCTTGCAGCACATGCTGCTGGCCAGCGGCCGCACCTCACCCGCCGACCTGCCCGACCGCTACCGGTCGTCTGCGGTGGATTTTCTTGCGCACTCTGTGGGGAGCCTCAGCCTCTCCCACCCGCCCGCCACTCTCGGCGCTGCTCCCTCCCCGCTGCTCGCTCTCTCGCTTGGACCCATTCCCTGAAGGAGAGGCAGGGGAAGAGGGGTGGAGAGGGATGGTTGGGAATGAGGGGGGGTGAGAGGGGGTGAGGGGGGGTGAGGGGGCGTGAAGGGGGGTGGAGGTGGGGAAGCTGGTGTATGGTGTGATTGCACAGGTCATTGTTATGCAGTATGTTACAGCAGCAGCAGCAGGGGCTGGCTCGTCCTGCACTCCGTATAAGCCAAAAAGCACGAGGAAGTGAGGAGGTGCGGAGGCGAGGGGAAAGGGGGCAAAGGAAGGGTCTGTGGTGGGGGAGAGGGGGAGGGGGGAGGGGGGGGGGTCAATCCAATAAGAGAGGTTACAAAACAAGTCTAGAATGTGTGGTGAAGTATGCTCGGACGTACCGTAGCAAGCTACCGTACAACATGTATGGGGCACCGCATGAATGGGCCACCACTGCCATAGTACACTACACTGCACTGCACTGTCCCCTACCTGCACAGACTCTCCTGGTCAGCTGTTCTCTACTTGCAGGGCAGCGGGTGCATACCTGTGGCCTTGTGCCATGTTCATCCCTGGCCCCTGGCCTTCTAGGTAGTTTGTTACAGCCAATTGTAGTGCAGTTCCAGGCGCTATACCGTATCCCCTTAGAGCATGCATCTGTCTGTCTGTACTGCCACTCGTGCTTACAACTTGTTGCTATGTTGGGCCTTCAAATCGAGCGTGCCAAGTACGGTGTCATGTTTTCACCTGGAACACCATTACAGTATCATTAGTTCTGCCTCAATCACTCTGCACTGCAAACCCTGATGAGCTTGAGCTGAACAAGATTAGTTCATGAATGTGTCTACGGTACTTGTAATGTGTGAGTAATTAAACTGTGATGACTGCAAGCTACCGTAAGCAGGCATGTTTCCACCCCGACCCCACCCAATGTAACCATGTTTTCTCTCCCTGCCCTTGTCCCTCACTCAGGACCATCCTTTAATGTCCAGTACACCGTAGGCTCTTACCAACCTTACAAATCATGTGGTATGCCTCAAGTGGTATGCCTCAAATGACTTGCCCATAAACCACAGCAATCTGTTTTCCATTGTTCCACATGCCTCTGTGCCTTGTTTCACCAGTTAAAAAACACACGGCCATGACAAATGCAATCAGCAGTGCCTAATCAGCTGGCACACACAGCAGACTCATCAGCAACACTGCCAGCCCCATGCCCAGCACCCGCAGCACCAGCAGCAGCGCGTGCCTTCACTGCCCAGGGCAGCCTGCTGTTGGACCGCCGCCCCAATGCGCGCTTCACATGGCCCCCCTGCCCCTCCTCCTCCACGAGCGGGGGAGGCGGCGAGGCCGTGAGGCACACTGCAACGACGGTGAGGTTGTCCCATGCGCCTCGCCTCAGCGCTTCTGCTACTAACTCCTCGGCGCACTTCTGTGGGTCGTTGTGCGTGCGCAGCTGCCTGCGTGCATAGTCCACCGCATTCTCACTGCGAAACACGTCCCACAGCCCATCACTGGCCAGCAGCAGGAACTCGTCCTCGTCTGTCAGAGTGATCTCCCACACGTCCGGGCTTGCAATCAGAGGCCCTTTGCTCACCCCGGAGCACACGTGCCGCTGCTGCTTGTGCTCCCAGCGCGCACACGACGCGTGCGTGTGGTGCTGTGCGTGAGTGTGGGAGTGGAAAGGCCAGCCGAGGGAGCGGTAGAGGTGGCTCCAGTGCTGCTTGTGCCCGTGGAAGCGAGAGCGCACTGCCCCGGCGTGACTGTGATGTTGAGGGGATGCGTGGTGCCGAGGATGTGGTGTGTGCTGTGGGAAGGCCTCTCCGTTTTGCAGTTCATTCGCAGGAGACGCATCGTCTTGAGTCCGGGAGTGCGAGTGGGGCTCAGCAGCAGTGGCAAGCGCAGTTGGTGTGGGTGGGGAGAGCGTAGGAGGCGAGGGGTCATGTGCAGTTGGCGCAGAGGCAGCAGGTGGTGGAGAGGGGGAATCACTTGTTATGTGTGATGATTTGAGGTCCTGCCACAAAGGAAGGGACAGGGAAGTGAGCTTTGAGACCACACGAAACACATCCTGAGTTCCTTATTCCATGCTCGCATCTCTCACCATTTCCCTGCAAAGAGTTGATACATCCCCCTCTGCCGCCTCTTCCCCCTCACTCTCCCTCACACACGGTCACGCACACAGCATGCAAGCAAGAACCGGCCATTCTCCCTGCGATGCATGCGGGGCTTTCAAGAGGCTGACCTTGAGATGCCAGTTGCCGAGTGCGCGTGTGACCATGAGGTAGCCGTTCAAATACCCATCCACCACATGACCTCCTGCTGCCTCCACTCGCTGCCGCTCCGAGTGGCAGTGTGACGCGCGGTGGTCGCGCGATAGTAGAATGCTGCGCCCCCTGCGACACAACACGGCCCTGCAATCGCCCGCGTTCGCCACCACCAATGACCTGCTACACGGCCAATGGAAACGAGGGGTGGTATGGATGGTGTTAGCATGAGTGAAACGGAAACTCACATGCACACATGTATACGCGCACATGCGTACATGCACCCACACATATACAAGGTAAGCAAGAGGAAAAACGGATAAACGACAAAAGGAAGGGGGAGGAAGCAGGAGACACGGGGGAAGGGGAGGAGAGAGGGAGGCTTTCAGCACCTTCACCTGCGATTGCGGGGATGGACTCCCATTGCCAGATCTGCCTAGCCTTCGCTTTGCTTGACCTACCCCATTGTGCTGTTCTTTCCAATTTATTCAATAACAAGGGCCGTTTGAGAGAGGTTAAGACAGAAAGAGAGAAAACGAGAGAAAGAGAGGGTGAGCACCTGTCGGCAAGCACAGCAGTGAGAGCAGTGGTGCCGGACTTGGCGGCATGGCCGGCGGACCACGCAGAGGCGAGCTGGTGGTCCGTGGCGAGGAAGGCGCGGTGCAGTGCGCACGGCAGGTGCGACGTAAAGGCGGCGTCCGCCAGCAGATGGCGCACTATCGCCCCCGCTGCGAACTCCGCTGCTTCCACTGACCCCTCGTGCCCGTCAAACACCTGATGATGCGACGAGATGGGGAGGGAGATGATGCGACGGGATGGGGAGGGAGATGATGCGGCGGGCGCAGGGAGACAGGGAGGGCGTGAGTGCGGGAGCGGGATTGATAAGGAAAATTGGCGGTAAGGGAAAGGAGGGAGAGCCACTGAAGGTGAGGGGGAGATGCAACGACGCAGCGAGCAAGAGAATGGGAGGAGTGGTGAGAGGGGGAAGGGTGGAAGAGAGAGGAAATGGGAAGAACAAGAGGGGGGAGGGAGGCTGGAGGAAGGGGGGAGACAGCGAGGGAGTACGGGGGTGTGTGGTAGGGGAGTGTCAGGGGGAGAAGCGGGTGAGAAGAGGGCACATCGTATTTGAGAGGACGAAGTTGCTTGCACTAATGCGATCAGAACGGCAGAAGGTGTGAGGAGCACGTGCGGACGACACATGACATACCCCGTAGAACGCGTAACGAGTTGATGATGCCGCCTGCGTGGCCTGCTCCGACAACGGCGCCATGGACGACGGCGGGGGGAGTGAGGCGGCGGCGGCGGCGGCGGCTGCGGCGGCTGCGGCGGCGGAGGAGGAGGAGGAGGAGGAGGAGGAGGAGGAGGAGGAGGAGGAGGAGGAGGAGGAGGAGGAGGAGGAGGAGGAGGAGGAGGAGGAGGAGGAGGAGGAGGAGGAGGAGGAGGAGGAGGAGGAGGAGGCGGCGGCAGAAGAGGGTGGAGCGAGGAGCGGAGGCGCGGCGTGGCACCAGGCGTGCAGATCGTCGATTGCGACGGGCACGTCCTCCATGTGCCCGCGGAACCCGTCGTGCGCGCAGCAACCCGACCGCACGCCCGCCGCAGCCGCCATTTGCCGCTCGCTCTGACCTTCCGCGCCCTCCCCTTGCTGCGCCCGCCCTGCCGCAACGAGGTGGTGGGCGCTGCAGGAGCAGCAGTGCTGCGGGGGCAAGCAGGGCGCGCATTCACAGAGCGTATGGTGTTGGTGAGATTCCCCGCCCACATACGTGCGCGCGGGCATGCGTGGTGGGGGGAGGAGGTTTCGCCAGTGCGCGTATGCGCACGAGCGCGTGAGCGCGTGTATCAGTGCAATGGAGAAAGCTAGAGGGGAGGGAGTGAGGGAGGAGGTTCGAGCGGTGAGGGATAAAAAAAAAAAAAACGGGATCCCGGACGAGCACGGACGGATGAACGCCGCGGAGACATGGAGATATGGAATTAACGGCGGAAACGAAAAGCAAGGTTAAGCGACGAGGCCAGGGATCTAAGGGGTTAAGGTGCCATCATCCTCCCAAGTGCACGTGTAGGATCCAGCCGCGCGAATCCGAGCGAGCGCGCCTCACCTGTGCGGATTCTTCGCCGGTGCTTGACTGCAGCGGCTCCGCGGATTCGCGAGGCAAAGATGGCGCGGGCGGCGGAGATGCAGCGGCAGCGGAGTGGTGGGGCTCAGAGGGGCCGGCGCAGCAGGTGATATGCCAAACAGTCACGTCGGCGGACTGATCGTGCGACGACGACCACGAGCATAAGTGCGCGGAGTCGCCGCGGTGCTCATGCGACGGTGCGCTCGGCGCGTGCTGGCGCGCAACATGCGCCGATCCAGGCGTTTCATCGCCGCGGCGCTCTGCGCCGACGTCGTCCGCCTGCTCCTGGCGAGCCAGGCTCCGCTGCACCTCGTCGCCGGGCGGATCACGATCGTTGCTTCGCGGCGCCACAGGGCAGTCTTTCGAGCCGGCAATCTCATCATCGCCCTGCCCTTCGACCGTGCCGCACTCATCGTCGCGCTTGGCGCCGCCTCCCGCGCCAGCAGTTGCTAGATCCAGCTGCGCTCCCTGCTCCTCCACGGCCAAGCGATCCCTGCATTCCACGACAGCCCCCGAGCCCTGGCTTTGATCCGCGTTCATCGATGCTTCAGTCATGACACCAACTCCACCTGCTTACGGTAAACTAAGCTACTCACGTCCTTCAGAGGCGGCCGACAAGTATGGCACGCAAACGTGGTATCAACGTGAAACGTCGGCAACTACTTGGGAGGGAGGGGGTTCCACGCTCCAGCCCAACAACTGCTAGGGGGCACAAGGGGATGAACGATTGATTCCCCGCCCCGACCACCCTCACCGAGCCAGCCAACTCACCTCCACCGCCCCTTGCCTTCCGTCGAGCCTGTTCCCTCCTCGACCTGATCACAGTTCGACGTCCTTTTCCGCACCTCCAGCCCAGACCGTCCCAAGACCCGCGGACCACCTGTCGCCGCTCATACTGCCGCGTGTCCTCCCAAAAGCCTGGGACTAGGTTCGGGAAAGGCCCGAGAGGGATCTAGAGCCACCAGGCTCGTTAAGTGGTTTTACGGGCTACTCTTCGGTTACGAAGTGCAATGAGTGGTCAAAATGTGGAACCCAGGGTTCCCTCCCATACGGATCAATCGGGTCAGAAGCCAGAGAATGTGCATGCTCACATCACATATGCTGTGTCCGCGAGGCAAGCCCCCGTCGAATCAGATCTAGTCCAACGGCCCAAAACCGAACCAGGACGACTCTGGTCTGGTCGTGGAAGGACTGCTTGGGTCTCGGACACTGTTGCCTGGTAACCAGACTATGGACTCGCTGGTCCGCGTGCCCGATGCACGGTTCGCAGCGAGGAGCTCTTCGGACTCCGTACACCTAGCCACCGCTATTTTCAACTTCCCACCTTGGCACTGTTCCCGATTTTCATATAAACCCTGCCCAGCTTTCGGGGTTTTCTGTTAGAAACCTCGGTATGGGGGACTACGAATGACGTCAAATGCTGGACGCTGGAGATTTTAATCGGGCGAGTGTAAGACAATTTCCGCTCGTGTGGAGTCTGCTTCCTGTTGCGCATCCCATTGCGCAGCTTTCAGGAGTCAGGAACTAACTCTGCGTAGAGCGTATGACGTCCGACACAACCCTTGGTAAAAAATGTTTGAGGGGTGCATACCCCTTTGCGCACGTGGGGGTTGAAAATAGACCGAAAGAAAATAGCGGTGGTTAGGTGTACTACACCCTCAGTATGATAGACGCATTACATAGCAACCGGTCCGTAAAGCATTCATCCTTTGGGCATGTACACACTAAAAATAGGAAACAGATCCATCGAGTCCCAAGCAGGGCAGCACACACTAAAAATAGGAAACAGCAGATGTTCAATATTAGGTACTGTATCATGTACCAAGCAAAGCTGTCTGGCCTAAGAAAAAAACATGGGCGATGCATTGCAGTCTACACATGCATCCATACATCCATTCATAATCCTCCCAGATATGATACCCTAAAATATCTTCTTAATTTGTGGACCTAGGCGTCGAGGAGTGGGAAGAGCCAAACCGGCACCCATGCCATCCTCAACCTCCATCTCATCCCTCTCCTCCGATCCCACACCGCCCTCCGCCCCATAGTCATCACCGCTCGGTGGCCAATCCTTCTCCTTGCGCGATACCCCTTGTCTCTTTGACCGCATCCCCCCATCCCCCTCTTGGTCCCCATCGTCTCCCTTGAACCCTCTTCCAAATGCTGATCTGGGCGGCAGTCGTCGTCTTGGAGTGAGAGGCACACCAAAGGCATCCATCCCACTGCTCTCAGCCTTGTCCACTTCCCCTTCCCCACTCTCACCCCAACCCTCTCCACCATCGCCCCGCCCTTTTGAGTGCGAGCTGGAACGAGGGGCAGGAGGGAGAGCCGCACCAGGATTCAAGGCACTGCTGCTGCTGCTGCTGCTATCAGCGGAAGGTGCGGAGGGCGGCAGAGCGGGTCTAGGAGGGAGCTTAACAGCCTTACCACGGGCGTCCACAGCACCTGCCTCGCTGCCTGTGCTCTGAGAGCCACGAACCACCCGGCCTCTCCTCTGAGGCAGAGCTCCCAACACTGCTCCCACCCCCTCCTCCTCCTTACCACCCACCTCACTTCTCCTTCCTCTCTCCTCCTCCTCTACCGCGTCCCCATCGCCCTCCTCCCATGCAGCTCTAAGCTTGGGTTTGCCATGTCTGGGAGATGGCAACCACACCGGCCCTACCCCACCACTCACGTCGCTGTCCCCATGCGCATGCCCTCCCTTGTGCTGCTCTTGCAACCCTGGGTCAACCACCTCTGTGATAGCCTGCAATCCATCCACTGCCATCAGCCCCTCATCCTCATCACCTATATCCGCCTCTGCCCCCCACCCTTTCTCCTGCTGCGCCTTCATTCCCCCCTTGGTGCGGGGCGTCAGTGGGGGGAGGCCTCGCCTCACCCCTCCACCACTGCTGCCTGACTCGGTTACTTGAAGCCCTCCCATTCTCAACCCACTGCCACTGCCACCGCCATTCCCACTGCCACTGGCAGTGCCAGCGCCATTACCCGCGTCACCCTCGCCTGCTGCCGAGGGCCTGCCTGACTGGTCTTTGAGTCGGTGAGGGTCGCGCGCAGCAGCGGGCTTGGAGAACTTGCTCAGAGCAGCGCCATAGGCACCACTGCCGGAGGGGGGGAAGAAACCCAGGGAGCGCGGAGAGAAGGACGAGGGGGACGGCATGGACGTGTGTGCATGCAGTGGCAGCGGCGCAAACACTGGCTTGCGAGGCGCACTCCCCTCCTCACCTCCCCTCGCCTCGCGCGCCTCCCCTGCCTTGCTGCCCATGCTGCCTGCGTCCACCTCGTCGTCGTGCACGGTGAGGCGCGCCAGCGCAGAGCTGGTGGATGCAACCGCTGACCCAACGCCGCTGCCTCCTCCTGCTGCTGCTGCTGCTGCTGCTGCTGGGGTTGGCAGTGCGGGCGAGGGTTGAGAGCCACGTGGGGTGGCGTCGGGAGACTCCCAAGGGAGGGAGTAGGCGGGGTTGAGAGGCAGGGACGACTCCAGCCAGCCTCTGTGCTGATGCGGCAGCACCTTGGTGGCCGGCGCTGACATCGCCCCTGCTCCTTGCGGCGTGCCTCCGTCCAGACCCTTGTTGAAACACTCAAAGTCAAACGAATACTCCTCCCGCTCCTCCACCACCCACTCGCCCCGTCTACTCCCACTCTCACTCCCACCATCGCCCACACCCCGCCCACTACCGCCTCTACCCCCGGCCACGAGCACGGGCAGCATGGCAGCGGGGTCGGAGTGCAAGGCGCCATGGCCCGGCAGCTGGTGCGCGTCCTGCCCCAGGTACGTGAGCCCCTCGCGCTCCAGCACGCTCAGACACACGCCCCACTCGCCACTGCCGCCGCGCACCAGGCGCTGCGCGCTCAGCGCGGCCTTGAAGCCGTGCGGCTCCTGCCCCTGGTGGATGAGAGAGGCCGCTGCTGGCAGGCGCTCGTACCGCACTATCTGCGCCGCTGCGTGCTGCGCCTGCTGCTGCATGGGCGGCCGGCACTCCGCGCCCTGCCACACGTACAGCGCTGCGCCCACCTGCGCACAGGACATGGGGTCATGGAGGGAGGGGGGAGAGAGAGATGGGGGGGAGGAGAACGGGGGAGGGGGAAGCATAGTGAGAGGAGTGCATGCAGTGGCGGGGGAGCCAAGGGGTAGCTGGCAGGATTGACGGGGGACAACCGCCCGGAGAGGGAGCAGGGGGGGCGACGGGAGAGCAGGACGGAAGGAGACGAGAGAAGGGAGGGTGGGCTAGGAAGTATAATTAAGGGGGGTGGGGGGGGAGGGAGGGAGAGGGTGCAGGTGGGGCGAGGGCGGGAGGGAGCGGACCTGCACGATGAAGGCGCCTCTGGGGTCGAGCGAGGAGACAGACACGACGGTGAGCATCTTGGGCACCAGGTGCAGCGGGTCGTACGGCGAGTGCGGTGCCATGCGGTACACGCGCACGTTCTCCATCTGCCGCCCCCCCTGCCCTCCTTGCCCCGCGCTCTCGCCATTGCACCCGCTGCTATCTGCGCCACCGCCGGCCCCAGCCCCATCAGCAGCAGCAGCACCGAGCGCGCGTGGGGAAGCAGCAGGGGGCAGCGGGGAGGATGGCGGGGGCGGCGAGAGCACGCGCTTCTGCCACTGCAGCAGCTGGCACGCGAAGCCCATGTTGGGACTCGCGACGCCGCGGATGTCCTTCACCACGCGGAACGCGTCCTCAAACTCCACTTGCTGGCGCGCGGAGGGGCGGAGACGCGGAGGGGGTGGGGGGAACGGGAGGGTTAGACGCGCGGAGGCACGGCGGGAGAGCAGAAACGTGGCCGCGGGCGGACTAGTCAGAATACGAGGAATGTTAGAGCACGGAGGAAATGCGCTTGCACAAGTAGTGAGTGGGCAGGTACAGAGGGGAGCGCGGGGGAAAAGGAAGGAAGGCGGGTGCGGCGAAAGGACGGACCTGCGCCCACATGAGGTAGGCGATGACGAGCGACGTGGAGCGCGACACGCCCTGGCAGCAGTGCACGAAGCAGCGGCCGTTGACCTGCTTGACCTCGTTGACGAAGTCAAACACGTCGTACAGCACGCACTGGATGTCCTCTGACGTGTTGTCCTGCGCGCCGAGCACAGCCAAAGCCACGGACGAAACAGGCCCCTCATGTGAATGCGCCGGACATGTGCTTAAGGGGAACAGATGGCCGTTAGGAAAGGCGCAAACGCGTGCAGCGAGAGAGGCGGTTACCTGCAGCGAGAGAGGCGGTTACCTGCAGCGAGAGAGGCGGTTACCTGCAGCCAGAGCGTTTTGTAGGTGATGTCGTGCGGGAAGTACTCAGGGCACACGAAGCCCACGCAGTTCACCACGTGCGTGATGCCCGCCGACCGCAGAATGCCTCTGTCGCGCGCCACAGCGTCGCTGCCCACGTACACATGCGGCAGCACGCGGCTACACTGCTTCTCAAAGAATACAAACTTCTCCTTCCGATCACGCAACTGCATCGCCTCCCCGCTCTCCTCCTCCTCCTCCTCCTCCCCCGGCCCGCCCTCCCCGCCGAACCTTCCCCCATCCCCCGTCACCGAGAACCCGTCCGGCCCAGCGGAAGTATCGCCCTGCGCGGAGAGCTGGTGCGCGGCGGACTGCTCGGGGAGGAGCACGCCCGCGGGCCCGGAAGGCAGCACGCGCAGGTCGAGCTTCATGCCCGCCAGGCGCATGCGCGCGCGGTTCATGCTCATCGACGGCGGAAGCGGCCGCTGCTGCAGCGCCGGCCCCACCCCCGTGTGCTTCTTCGGCGCGCGCCCGGCAGCCGACGCACCGCCGCTGCTGCTGCGGCTGCTGCGGCCGCTGCCGGGCGTGGCCGCGGATCGGGTAGTATCCAAACGCGAGTCGTCGTCGCCCCACAGCGAGACCGGCGGCGCTGCGCCGCCTCGCCGCACACTCAACAACCCGTCGCCGTCGCCGTCATCGTCCTCCTCCTCTTCCGTCATGCTGGGCCCTCTCGATATAATCATACTCCTGCTCGACCCCAAATGCCGCATTGATCGCCCGCTGCCCGGCGAGCTGTCAGAAAGAGGCGGAGGGGAGTCGACAGCTACTGCGCGCACGTCACCGTCGTCCGCATCGCCTTCTACCTCCTCCAACACCCGCAAACCCATCGCACCTACGCCTTTCCCCCTGCGCCCACCTTCTTCGCTCATAATCCCGTTCATGCCCGCGCGGTGACGGTCCGGGCGAGCGGCGTGTGCGGCATCGGAGTCAGGAAACGGAACATGCGCGGTGGGGGAAGCCACGGGCAATAGCGGCGGTCGTTCAGGCTGGGGACCGTCGGGCGCGGCAAGGGCAGCGAGAGACGGGACCACGTCCACCGCCACACCCGCGCGCGCCTTCCTCATGCGCGACGGCCGGCGGACAGGTCGCCGGGTGAGACGGCGGCGGACGGTACGGACGGTGCTAACAAAGGAGGTAAAAGCGCACGCCTGCTTGGAAGGGACGATCTGGTAGGAGCTGCGCGCACGGATGCTGGCGATGTGATACTAACGGAGGCAATCGCGTGACATCGTAACAAAAGAACGAGTCGCCTAGAGGTTACTTACTACGGATGAGCTGAGAGGGGAGAAACAGGGATGGCGTACGTGAAACGGAACAGGAACGAACGAACAACGGTCGCGCCTCTTACAACAATGTATTTCCAGCATTCGTCAGGCCTCGCGCGCGCGATGTTGCAAGCCGGAAAGCACCCTGACTTCTAACTCTCCTGCGCTCATCGTTGTTTCCGTCGTTTGACACTTTGTGGCAGAGTTAGAGCAGTAGTGCCGACATAACAAGCTCCATCATCCAGCGACACTGCTTGGGTAGTGTTAGTTAGTTCGGAGGGTGGTCTAACTGCAAGCAAACTTCTGCCGTGTGACAGTGCGGTGCAGATGGGTGACGAGCCAATCTTGGGAATTACGCCCAGAAAACCTTGGCGGAAGCATCTTTGCCTTGGTTCCGACATTCTCCGCCCGCACGCTGGTTGAGGAGGAGCAGTTGGGTAGTATTTCCGCGCGCAGTCGCGTCCCGCACGCTAGGCGGTGCACCGAGAGGAAAAAGAGAGCAAACGTTGAAGAACGACGTTCGCGACATCGTTCGGACACTGCAACGCTGTCATTGCTGTCGCCACGACAGGAAGGAGTGAAGGGCGTACAGCCCAAGTTTCTCGTGAGCAGAGCAAAAACGCCACCATTCGTAACGGCTTCGCATACGAGGCTGGGCCGTATTCCTTGAGCCGTCACAACACACCCGCCTTCGAGTCACTCACACAGTTACCAGTAACAAGGTGCCGGATGTAAAGAATTTTCCCTATTTCCTAAGGCACTCCATACACGTACAACTCCAACATTCGGAGTTCTAGGCTCGGTCCTGTTGGAAACAAGTAATTTACGCTTCTGATGTGTCGAAACACTGAACTGTAAGCGAGGTGAACTACAGCGAAGCGACGGCGAGTCAACTGAAGAGGTTGACAAAACGCAACAGCAAGAGGTTGAGGGAAGGTCAAAGGTCAGCGACCTTTGACTCGTCGAAAGGCAGCGCGACAGCAAGGACACACAACTGACTCATTATTGAGCAGTTGCCCGAGTCGTCGCTGTATCGAACCGCAACAGCAACAATAAAACAGTTAGTTGCACCTCTTCGTATTCTATGTAATCATATAAAAGGCTTTCTATTACTTTGCTATAATCAATTTATCTTGCTCCCACACACTAGTGCAAGGTGGTTCAACCAGTTCACTAAGAATGCTTCCGCAATTACATCATCTCTACTTAGAGTCTTAGCCTTGCAACGATCATAAGGGCTTTTTTCAGCCCAACAGGTCCGATGACCTCGCCCTCCGAATGTCCCTCGCGTTGCCTTCGGGTTTTCCAACCCCAAACCTGCATCCCACCATGCGTGGTCCTTCGACCTCGGCCTAGCTAGCGTTCGCTATATCGATGCTACGTCTCATTATCTGCTCAGTTGTTGTTATCACTTCCGCGATATTGAATCCTGCACACTCTTTCTATTACAACTGATAATACTGGAGTTGTTGCATTCCTTATGGTTTAGCACTTCCATTGGCAATGTTCTCGTATTACCATAAAAAGGTCTTCCAATTGGACCTCATGTCACTCTCCTGATAGTACTGTAATTTCCCGGCTAATGGAACCTTCCAAATTATAGCCCCCTGGGCTGTTAATAGGGCGGATTTTAGCACCAATGCATACACTTCAATAAAAAAATGCTCGTTAATTTCACATGCAAGAATCATGTATGAAACACCCTAAACCCTAGAATTCAAAGACCCCGTTTTGGTAGGTCCTTCGCTGGAGGTGCAGTATCTTAACATAATAGGGGTTTTTGTGTTATATATTGACGCCACTCCACCTGCATCCGCTGCACATGCCGATGCTACACCCGTCTGCTGCTACGCATGTCTCTGCACGTGCCATCCATTCTTTATTTTACAGCTCTCCTGCCATCCTTCAAAGAATGGAGTCCAATGGTTCCCTTATTTTGTAGCCCCTCGCAGTCCGCTACAGTGCGCATCAGCTTAACATGCAGCATCGTGTCTCATGCCCGCAGGTTTCGTTGACCCTCATCTGGTCTGGTACCTTAAATATTGCACCCGCGTTTTTGCGTCTAGGGCTGTTTCTCCCATCCGCGATTCTTGCGTGAACAAGCTCTCAGCTTGAACCATCTCCCGAGTCTTCCATTGTTTTCCCCTTCCACACACTGACTGGAAGTTCCACCACCCTTCTTCTCACCATCTCTAAAGCTTATGTGACGTTGCTTGCTTATACACTCGCTTCCTTCACCAAGGTACCCATTCCTCTGCTCTTCTCTTCCTCACTTATGTTTCTCCCTTTAATCTCACTCCTCCAGTTGATTGGTTTCCCCTGCGTCCAGCCCCGTCTAATGTGTCGCATGTCGATTCACAGTCTCTGCCGTCCCAAACTTTGTTCTCACAATCACCATAATGGCCTTCGTCGCCACCGCATCAGTTGTCGTTGCCGCTATAGGTCGGTGTGGACTCAAGGGGTGCTGGTCAGGGGGTGCAGTTGCAGTGGGTGTTGGTTCTGGGGGTGTTGACACTGGAGATGTTAGCTTTAGGGGTCTGACTCAAAAGGTGTTGGCTCTGGGGGTCAAGACACTGGAGGTTTTGACTCTATGGGTACTGCCACTGGTGGTTTGGACCCTAGGAGTGCTGCAGCAGCAGCGGCAGCCACAACCGTAGCAGTCGGAGCAGCCGCTGCAACAACAACAGTAGCAGCAATAGCAGCCGTCTCCACCTTTACCTGCCCTTCACCATTTCGTTCTTGGTCTTCCTTGCCTTTCGACACGTAGTGCTCTCCTTCCTCCTCCTTACTGGACCAATCCATGGGTAATTTTCCTCATGCTTTGCACTTGTCTTCTCCTCTCCTTCTTGGTCCGTTACTTAATATCACAGCCCTTTCCTCATCGTGCCCCTCATGCTCATCTCTCATCTCTTATTTTTTTTGTAATTCTACGGGGCTCTGTTCTTTTTCTCACCATCTCCCTCACCTGTACTCCCATCATCTCCTTAGTCGTCTCTCATTATATTTCCTCACCTGTTATCTAAATTCCTTCGTGTCGCTTGCTCTACATTCCCCAACTTAGTCCATGCAGTGCCCCCTCCTGGGACGAATGTAGACGATGACGTGTGGGTTTCCAAGTTGAAATTACCACCTGGAGTGAGGCCTGTCTTTAAGAAACGATATGTGTCGAGAGGCTTCAATCCGTAAGAGGGTGTACACTTCTTCCAAAAATTTCCCTCACCCCGACGACGAATCGCACTTCGAGTATTGTTGCACATTGCGGCAGAGCGTGACAACGAGCTTCACTCACAAGACTTCTCCACTACCTTCCTCTAGTGCAGTTTGCATGAGCAGATCTGGCTTTGTCGTCCTCATGTTTTCACTGGGTCCTTCCTGAGGCCAAGTGGAGCCTTTGGCAACCGATTTGTGGTCTGCTTCAGACTCCTCGTGAACCGTACGACATGTTATGCACTACTCTTGCTGCCCTCAGTTTCTCCCCGTCTTCTGTTGACCCTTCAGAAATCTTTCACTACGGCATCATTCTCTATGTCGACGACCTTTTCCATGTGTATGCGTGTATGCACGTACGATGGTTTGTGTGCGTGTATGTGTGGATATGTGTTCGTATGAAAGCCTTTGTATGTGTTAATGTGTGTGTGCTTATGTTCGTATATGCATGCTTGTCTGTGTTCCTCTCTCCCTCTCTCTCTCTCTCTCTCTCTCTCTCTCTCTCTCTCTCTCTCTCTCTCTCTCTCTCTCTCCTCTCTCTCTCTCTCTCTCTCTCTCTCTCTCTCTCTCTCTCTGTGTGTGTGTGTGTGCGTGCATATGCGCGCACATGTATGTGTGTGTGTGTGTGTGTGTGTGTGTGAGTACGTGTCTATGTGTGCGCGCACGCGGGTGTCTCGTATCTGTATGTATGCACATGCATGCGTGATTCAACGCGTACGCATGTATAAATGCATACAGTATTGCCGTGAGTCTGGCAAGATGTAATTTTGATGCCGGTAATTCCATTAGCTCTTAGTATGATTGTGACATTGTGATGTATTTTGCCTTTGTCTCTAATTGCATCAGGTTCCGCTATTACCATCATGATTTTGCCATCGAGTGTGACGGGCTCTTGCCAAGGGCTTTGGATTAAAAGGCATTTGACCATATATAGTTTACTAAAAGGATTGCAGTTCGCCACCACTATTTAGATCCAGTATTTGATACAACGTGATGTTTTCTTGGTGGCCAATCACGCCTTTTTTTAAGAGTACTGCCCTCCTTCATGAAAAAACATGTGGCATTCATGAAAGAGACAGGAAAGGCAAAAAAAGCTCCCAAAACGAGTCAGTCTTTGCTGGAAAAACGTTATGAGGGAAGCCGTCCAGCAAGGGCGTGCCGAACCTCGTCAAACACAGCCGCTCAACCGCGCCGCCTTCAATTGCCGCTGTAACTGTACAACAGTGTGCCCTACTCGCTATGGCGAGGTTTCCGCCACAAGCACATTCCCCTTCATTTCAAGGGCATCCAACTTGGGCATCGTGTCGTGACCACCCTTGACGAAAATTGGCCAAAGCGTGTGCGCGTGTGGGTTCAGCCCAGGGCAGACGGGCGAGAAATTCAGACGAAACGGGTTACTGCAATTGCGCAGTCGTTTTAGCGAGACGGACATGCTGGTCTCCTCCGCACCGTGGTCTGCGGGGTAACTCGCCGAGGCGCTCCTTCACAATACGCACACGGCGGCTCGAGATGTCCAGCTCCCCAGCACCCGTTCTTGCTCTTCCCAGCGAAGGGCGAATGCAATCAAGCACAGAGGCACAATTTATCGTCTTTGTCCACCATCCCTTGAAGCTCCGTTTGCCAGGGTTTGGTCAAGCCCGATAGTGAGCGACAATTGGCAAAAGCACGAGCGAAGAGTTGCAGGCAAGATTTGTGATCTGCCGTCATGTGCAGCCCCCGCATTTTGTCGCAAGAAAGGATGGCGTAGACGTCATCCGTGTAGATCCAGCAACGCTGGGGTGTCCAGCTCCATGCTTTCAGTAAACAGCACATGTTGAAGTGTCAAATTCATCAGCGCTCGTGTCACCACCCACGCAGCGCTCTCAGAAGTCGTTGAAAATAATTAGTTCCAGCCCCGGATTCGCTCCCTGGATTCGCTGCTCTTTGTAGAGTAAATTACCGTCCCTACAGATTTCCGCGTAGAGCCGTCGCTCGAGCGCGTGTGAATGGACTGTCCGCCAACTCGTCTCGTGCTCCCCGACGGTCGCCCGCTCGACCTGCACCTCACGTATGCCATCACGGTCGACGAGGCCCTTCGTCGCGCGCTGCCCTTTGCTATCTCCTCGTCGCTCGCTTGCTCCGCCCTCCACCCCTCCTGCCACATCTCCCTGCGCTCCGCCGACCGCGGCCTGCTGCGAGGCAGATGGCGCGACCTTCCGCTCTCGCGGCACCTGCAGCTGGGGCGCACGTACCTCGTAGTGGTGGAGCGCGGGCCGCGCGGGGGGAGGCACAGCCTGCGGTACGACGGGCGCAGCATGGCGGAGCTGGTGGCGGCTGCGACGGCCGTGGAGCACGCTGCAGGGTTAAGTTTGGAGGCGCCGGACGAGGTTAGCATGTCGCACCGGAACATGCAGTTGCCCGTGCGTCAATATTCTTAACAATTGACTATTTTTTCTTTATGCCCTTTCTATCGTCTATAGCCTGCTTCTCTCCCCATGCTCATTTCGTCTGTCTATCAGCTACAGTTACTAACACACCCTACACCCCTCGCTTCCCGTTCCGACCATGGCCGTCCATCGCACCCTATCTGCCCCTTGCCCTACTGTTCCTCGCAGGGTGGTTCGCCGCCCTTGGCAGACCCGCTGCACGCAGCATTGCTAGCCGCCGCGCGTGACGCGGTCATGGCGGGAAGCTTCGACGGCCGCCACCAGCCTCCGCATCCGCTATGCCACCCGCCATCCGCTATGGTGCATCACCTCTCCCCTCGCTGCCACCTCCCCGCGCACCTCTCACCCGGCGCGGCCCTGGATGTCGAGGGGCTTCTCGACTCCGGACAGCCCTCCCCGCCCGACGGACGTGCTCGGCGCGCAGCGGAGCTGACCAATGAGATGGCCGCGCGCCTTGTAACTGCGGCGCGGAGAATGTTGGAAGCGGGACAGTGGGACGCATCTCGCGGCGCCTGTGGCGCTACAGGCGGGGACGCGCGAGGGTATGGCGCAGCGTTTGGAGGGGAAAGAGCGGCCAATGAACAGGACGATGGCAGGGGTGAAAGAGCGGGGCCAACGGTGCAAGAATTGATGATGTGGATGGAGCGCGGGGAGTCGCACGCAGTAGTGCGAGGCGACGGCGAGAGCGACGAGGAGAACGACAACGAGGAGCGAGGCGACGAGGAGGCGGATGGTGAGGGGGAAGAGGAGGCTGCATGGCGGAGGAATATCGCGGATTCGCGCACTCGCAGTCGGGTGCACGCGGACGGCGCGGCGCCACGTGTGGCATATGTCAAGCAAGAAGGCCTGCTGGGAGCGGCAGCGACGGACGGCAGCGCGGCAGAGGAGGGAGCATCGTCCGGAGAAGCTCCAGGAAGGGTGGTGGATGGGCGCGGCGGCGCGCGTGAGCAGCGCGGAGAGGACGCCAAAGGGATGGTGGGGGGGGACGTGCGCGCATTGGCCAGGGGAGGGGCCAAGGGGGAAGGTGCGGGCGTGAAGAGGAGCTGCGGGGATGAGCGGGGAAGGGTGATCGTAGCGGAGGATGCACGCGACGGCGCGGAGGAGTGGGACAACGACGCGGATGCTTTCTCGCTCAGCTTGGGCCCGGACGGCGACGAACAGCCGGCGCCGCCCCATGCGGCGCGCGAGAATAGGGAAGCGAGCGGTGAAGAGGTAATGGCGAGCGGGCAGGATCTGATGAGTCCGTACCCGAGACGGCGGGACGGCGGGGAGGAACGGGATGAGGGGAGTGGGTTGGAGGAAGTGGTGAAGGGCGGTGAAGAGGTTGGTGGTGCCTTGGGGAGTGGGGCAGCGGACGACGAGACATGGGCGAATGGGGAGGTGAGAGATGGCGGAAAGAATGCTGCTGTGGTGGAAGGCCCAAAGGGCGCGGAGAGCGCGGAGGGCGCGGAGGGTGCGAATGAAGAAGATGGTGCGGCTGACCCAGAGACGGACTCCCGCGGTGCGCTCGAAAAGGTGGTGGATGGCAGTGGTGACGTGGAAGGGTGTAGAAACGTGGAGGAAAGTGGTGACGTGGAGGGGGGTGGTGACGAGGAGGAATGTTGCGATGTGGAGGGGAGTGGTGCAGTGGCAATGGGTGGTGACGTGGAGGGGAGTGATGGCGTGGAGGGTAGTGATGCCGTAGAGAATCTTGATGACGTGGAGAAGATTGATGACGTGGACGGTTGTTGTTATGTGGAGGGTAGTGATGACGTGGAGGGGAGTAACGATGTGCAGAGGAGTGATGACGTGGGGGAAAGTGGTGACATGGAAGGGAGTGGTGAAGACGAAAAACTTGGTGGCGTGGAGCAGAGCGATGACGTGGAGAAGAGAGATGACGTGGAGCAGAGCGATGACGTGGAGCAGAGCGATGACGTGGAGCAGAGCAATGACGTGGGGCGGGACAAAGACGTGGAGTGGGGCGATGACGTGGAGCGGGACGATGCCGTGGAGCAGAACGATGATGTGGAGCAGAACGATGCCGTGGAGCAGAACGATGATGTGGAGCAGAACGATGACGTGGAGCAGCACTCTGACCTGGAGCAGCATGGTGACATGGAGCAGCATGCTGACGTGGAGCAGCACGGAGACATGGAGCAACATGCTGACGTGGAGCAGCACGCTGACGTGGAGCAGCACGCTGACGTGGAGCAGCACGCTGACGTGGAGCAGCACGCTGACATTGAGCCGCACGCTGACATGAAGCAGCACGCTGACGTGGAGCAGCAAGCTGACGTGGAGCAGCACGCTGACGGGGAACAGCAGGCTGACGTGGAGCAACTCACTGACGTGGAGCAGCATGCTGACGTGGAACAAAATGGTGATGTGGATCAAAATGATGACGTGGAGGAGCACGATGACGTGGCACAAAATGATGGTGTGGAGCAAAACGATGACATGGAGGAAAATAATGACGTGGAGCAAAAAGATGACGTGGAGGATAATGATGACGCAGAGCAGAATGCTGACGTGGAGAAGAATGATGACGCAGAGAAAAATGCTGACGTGGAGAAGAATGATGACGTGGAGCAGAATGGTGACGTGGAGCAGAATGATGATGTGAAGCAGAATGGTGACGTGGAGCAGAATGGTGACGTGGAGCAGAATGATGATGTGAAGCAGAATGGTGACGTGGAGCAGAATGATGGCGTGGAGCAGAATGGTGACGTGGAGCAGAATGATGGCGTGGAGCAGAATGGTGACGTGGAGCAGAATGGTGACGTGGAGCAGAATGATGGTGTGGAGCAGAATGTTGGTGTGGAGGAAAACGATGACATGGAGGAAAACAATGACGTGGAGGAAAATGATGAAGTGGAGCAAAATGATGAAGTGGAGCAAAATGATGACGTGGAGCAAAATGATGACGTGGAGCAAAATGATGACGTGGTGCAAATTGATTACATGGAGCAATATGATGGTGTGGAGGAAAATGATGACGTGGAGCAAAATGATGACGTGGAGCAAAATGATGACGTGGAGCAAAATGATGACGTGGAGCAGATTGATTACGTGGAGCAAAATGATGACGTGGAGCAAAATGATGAGGTGGAGCAAATTGATGGCATGGAGGAATGTGCTGACACGGAGGGGAACAGTGACGTGGATGAAGGAGGTGACATGGAGAAGAGGGATGACGTGGAGGGGGCTGATGGCTTGGAAGAATGCTGTGTGGAAGAGAGTGGTGACGTGGTGATGAGTGACTTGGGGGGGAGTGGATATGTGGAGGACAGTGATGACGTGGAGGGGATTGCAGGCGCGGAGGAACTTGGTGACAAGGGCGAGCACGCTAGAGAGGACGGTGCGGCGGACGGTGCGGGGAAGACCGAGGAGGGATTACGCTGCATTGCGGCGGCGCCACGTGCCACGCTTGATGCTGCTGTTCTACCTGGGACGCCCCAATCCCACTCCGGCAGTGGCAAGCGCGTGGCGGCAGCTGCGGCGAGTGCAGCGGCGGCAGCATTGAAGGCGGCGGCCGTAGCCGCAGCTGCCGCTGCTGCTGCCAAGTGCGCTGCTGCCCGCCTGTCGCGCGTGTCCGATGCTCTTGCGTGGGACAGCCGAGGGGGGCAGGGAGGCGTGGTGAAGGCAAAGACGAGGGCCAAGGGGGGAAGCGAGGGGGGTGAGTGTACCCATGGCACCAAGGAACGCACGGCGTTGGTCAGCAGTGCTGGCTCGCGGGAGCGCGGGCGAAAAGTGGAAGGAACGGGCGAGTGGGGGGGGGTGGGTAAGCCCAGTGGAACAGAGAAAGGGCGCGGAGCAGCAGGCAGTAGTGAGGGCGTGGGGATGCATGCGGAGGAGCATGGAGGCAGAGTGGGAAGTGGCGGGTACGTGCAGGTGGGCGGCAGGCGCATGGATGCGGGGGAGTGGCTGATGAGAGAGGCAGCAAAGCACGGCACAGAGATGCTTGTGACCGTGGCCGCTGCTGCTGCCTCCGCGGAGTGCCGCATGCATGCTGCTAATCGTGGGCCGAGTCGAGTCATGCAGCACTCGGTGCAGCGAGGGACGGAGCAGCATGGCCCTCCTGCTCAGCAGCAGCAACGGGCACTGCGAGGTGTGCAGCAGCAGGAGAGTGGCATTGTGGAGAAGCAGCAGGATCAGCAGCACAGCCCCCAGAACCAGCACCCTCCACAGCAGCAGCAGGAGGAGGAGGAGAAGAAAGGGCAGAGCAGCAGCTGCGAGGTGTGGCGGCCAGAGGATGGGCTGGGGTGTCTGGGCGCAGAGTCGTTCCAAGCACTGCTGCCTGACTTTGGCTGGCAGCCCCTCGCATGGGCCACTGCGGGCGACGAGCAGGGGCGCGGCGCAGGTGCTGTTGGGGGGGAGGGTGCGGAGGAGGCAAAGCTGTGGGCGGCGTATGAGGCGCAGTACAGGCAGCGACGCAAGGGACAGGAGGCACTGGGGAAGAAGGCGAGTAAGGTGGACAAGGGACGGTCAGACCGGGCTGAGGGCAGTGGGGACAGTGGGGCAGGGGATGATGGGGAGGGGGAGAGTGATGGGGAGGGCGAGGAGGAGGACATGGAGATGGCGTTCCTGTTCCGCCAGCTGCGCTTCTACCACCTGGGCTCCTCCCAACCTGCCTCTACTGCCCCAGTGCCAGCAGCTGCAACCCCGCCCATGCCAGAGGATGCTGGATATGGTGGCAAGGCAGAGGAGCAGGGCAGCAGCAGCAGCAGTGTGGGCAGTGAGGGTGTGTGGAGGCCTGAGCTGCCTCTGATTTTGGAGGTACCGGAGCTAGAGGCGCTGTGCACGTCGCATGACACGTCAGAGAACGAGGCAGGGTGGAGCGAGCAGGGCACTTGCTCGTCGTCATCATCTGGTGACTCGTCGTCGCCCCGTTGCCAAGCGTATGCTGCTGGGCAGGGAGTGGCAGAGGAGGGGGCGGCAGTAGGGAAGGCGGGGCGGGGCTTGGTGTTGCCTAGCATCAACCGCATGGCATCCACCCTTGTGTGGCGCCCGTGGATCAAGCACAGTGGGTGATGGATGTGGCAGATGCCTGTTGTGATAGCTCATTACAACACGGTAAGCACCGGACAGATATTACAGTAGAGTGCAGAAGTTCAACCTTTACTCATGTATGGTATGTAGATGATCACTCCACCCATCACGTTCATAGCTTTTAGAGCCTACTATCTAATATCACCCTACTAGTAGCCGTCTCATTGTTACATATTCATCCGAATCTTCCCCCCTAGTAGTGTCTCCGTCATCGGTACATACATAGTCATCTCGATCATTGAGCTGTGTATCATTGGATGTCCAAAGCCAGAAAGAGTTTGACTGGTTCAGTACATCAGTTCTACAGACAGTATGTCAAGCGAACCCTACATCTCCCCATACACATAGCCAGCAAATAGGAAGCTTATGCAGACAGACCTGCACACGGGCACAGAAAAAAAGGAGCAGGCTAAAACTTGTTACACTCAACAACACAGAGAGTTCAAAACTGGCCTGTACATCAAGTTTCACAAGCAAAGCAGTGGCGGGCATAGAGGGGTGGCAGTGCGGCACTAACCGTGCTGCTTCTTGCAGTCGTTGAGCATGTCAATGTAGAACTGACACTTGGCAATGTCCGTGCCATTCGCCTGCACACACTGCACTCGTCCGCACGACCAAGCGCAGCCAACAAAGGAGGATGTACAAGGGGAAAGCAACAGATGAATTTTAACTTGTACACTGTGATGAAGCCGCAGATGCTATGTGAATGTACTCAATGCGAGCATGTGGCCAGCGGGGGACAGTAAGCAGTGGTCCAGTGGATAAGCTGGTGCCATGGTGCTGTGTGTTGTGAGCGCGTCCTCATCCCGTGGCACTCACGTCAGCGAAAGCCTTGGCATGGTACGTGCACGCGTCAGCGGGCGCAGATGCCATGGCAGGGGCGGCGGCGGCGGCGGCAGCGGGGGAGGGGGCAGCGTCAGCAGCGCCCACGTGCTCGTGGGTGACGGTGCGCGGGCCCACCACGGCATCCACTGCGCGGTGCGCAATGGCGCTGCCCGTGCCAAACGCCAGCCCTGCGACGAGAGACACGCGCATGGTGCGTGGGGGGAGCATGACAAACGGGGGAAGGAGGGTGGGGCGGGGGAGGAAACGGTGAGAAGGACGAGCAGGAGAAAGTGGTGTTAGTGATGTTAGTAGTGATGGTGGTAGTGGTGGTGGTAGTGGTGGTGGTAGTGGTGGTGGTAGTGGTGGTGGTAGTGGTGGTGGTAGTGGTGGTGGTTGCGAGGAACGACGCCACAGCAGTCGGACATTGAGAAAAAGCAGACCAGACGTGCAAGGGACAGATCACAGCACCGCTACTCGCGCGCATACACTGCGCAGTCGATTGAAACGGCGCAGGTTCGCGAAACGGCGGAAACGAGAGTAATCTATTACCCCATACCTTGTCCGACCATCCCCATCATGCCGCCCAGCATGCCGCCTCCGCCGCTGCTCTGCTGCATGGGAGGTGGAGCAGGCGCCGCTGGAGAAACAGCGGGAGGGAAACAGGGGCAGAGAGGAAGAGGCGCACGTGCGGGTTGGAAGGCGTGGAAGCGGACGAGCGTGGAGAGCGAGAGAAGCGAGATGAGCACTGGAAGGCTGCACGCGGCTTGGTGCTTGCGTCCAATTGCGCGGCTCATGCAGAAGCCACCAGGGAGCATCGCTACGCACGGACTTACCGACAGGGGCCGGGGGAGGAGCGCGGGGTGCTGCTGCCGGCATGGCGCGAGGCGCGGGGCGCGATGCTGCAAAGGGGAATTCCGGGAGACAGAGAGAAGAGGGCAGTTCTTAATTGGCCGCGGTCGATATATTCGTTCACACGCTCGGGTGAAACAGAAAGACGAGAGAACGAATAACAGCAAGGCGAACGGCCGGAGAAGCGATGGTGGAATCGGTGGACCAGATCCGCGGAGCAGAGGCTGCAGAACATGCACAGTCAGATCTAGTGGTCTGCTGCTGCACGCCGTAACGGCCGCATGACGCGTCACGGTGTTAAGAGCTTCAGATGCGGCACGCGACGCCTGCCGAGCGAGCGCTCCAGCAATCGGAGCTATCTATGCGACGAACGCGACTGAAGAACCCTAATCGCCAACTGTGCCAAACGAATTGCCGTGCGATGACTTACCGGGGCGTCTGCTGCGAGCCATGGTGTGTGCGATGGGCGGGCGAAGCGGCGAACGCGCGGCGGAGCTGGTGGCGAGGCGATTGGGGATCTGAAGGTAAAGCAACGCCTCGCGAAGTGCGTGTGTGCGTTGGGGGGGCGACGGCAGGCGTGGTACTGGAAGTGGAGATGGTTCCAGAACAAGAACTCCGGGCAGCTCAGCTGACCTCTTGAAGCAACTGGAGTCTGGAAGGGTTACGTCACGTCACGGAGTTGGTGCTTTGGTTTGGGGATTGCTGATGACGCAATCAAGGCAGGCTGGTTGGTCATATGGATGCGCGCAGGCGTGGCGAACAAGCAAGCGGTGGGCGAAGAGGCGTTCGTTACTGGCTTCGCTGCTGCGTCCAACAATCGCTATGGCGCTCTTGCATCCCCGTCACACATTTATAGCAAATCACACTACATCTCCACCATTTTCTACAATGCTAGTTGTGGAATAATATTTCAGCAAAAAAAATAATGCACTTTTATAACGAGTACTTTTGTACAAATGATTAATCAGCATCAGTACTCTAGAATGACATCATCTATACGGATATAAATTGGGATATTTTTAACACTCAAGGAAGCACCATGTGGCCTCATAGCTCTAGGCTTTCCATCTGCACCACTGTGTTGTTTCTGCTGGCCCACTGCCCCAGCCCCCACTTCCTCAGCCCCCCAGATGCACCCTGCCCAGTAGTCTCTCCTGCCCGTCTCTCCTTGCCACTTGCTTCCTCCTCATCCTCGTGCCTGCTGCTGCCTGCTGCACCTGATCCTGCCACTGTGCCAGCAGTGGGTGGCGAGGGTGCAACGAGAGGAGCGGAGGCAGCAGATCGTGGGGTGGCAGTGGGCTGGATAGGCTTGGCACAGAGCAGGCAGAGGCGCGTGCGGCGCAGGCAGCAGGAGTGGTAGGCGGCAGAGCAGTGCTGGCAGCGGGACGTGGATGGCACCTGGTGGGCAGGAGGGTGTGGAGCAAGGGAGAGAGGCTGAGGCGATGTAGCATCAAAAGGATCAAGTGGAAGGATGCAGGGCAGGTCAGGAATGAAACGAGGTGAAGCAGGGCTTATGGTTTCTGGTTAGGGCGAGCGAGCGGGCAGACCTCGTAGGGGAAGATGAGGGGCCCGAAAGGACTGCAGCAGTTGGTTTGCGCGGTGCAGTGCGTGGTGGCAGCTGCAGCACACTCTATGCACCCCGATGCCATGTGGCGCCGCAGCGACCATGCAAGGCGCGCCAGCATGTCCGGCAGCACTGCCACACACACGGCCAGGGGGGGTTGAGGGGAGGTCGGCATGGGGAATGAGCACAGAGATACATAGATGGGTGGCGGTGCAACAAGTAGCAGCACCGTGGCATGCACTGACTGGATCAATCAGAAGGGGCGTACGCATCAGCCTCGCATAAGGTGCAGCACCAATGTCTCCCTCCCCTCCCTCCCCCCCCCCTTTCCCCTGTGCCCTCACCAGCGAATCTGCCTTTGGAGGCGTCTACGAGATCGCGCATGGCAAAGAAGCCCTCAGTCTCGCGCTGCACCAGGTACGCCCTGCGCCCCAGGCGCGGCAGCAGGTGGCGCCGCAGCGGGCACGCGGCGCCCATGGCGGCATGCAGCACGGCGAGGTGAGCCCTGAGGCGCTGGATGTGCGCCAGTAGCGGCACCCTCCGCGGCAGCAGTGGGTTCACTGCACTCAGGCACAGCAACGGCTGCAGGGGAGGGTGATGGGGGGGACGGGAGGGGGTTCGATGCAGTGAAGTGAAGTGGGTGGATATGCTAGGAAAGGAATCGTTGTGCCTGTTCGGACTGCAGCCAGCACGGGGCAGGCACGAGAGTGAGTAGAGAAAAAGTTTTTTCCTGCCCCTTGTCTCATCCACAAGGCAGTTTGCCTCCATGAGCAAGATGAACCCCATGCCATGCACCCCGATTCTCGCAACAATCCTGAACGACTTAGCTCCCACGCCCTAAAGCCCTCCTCTCCAGCCATCTCACCCCGCCCCCTCCTGTGGTACAAGGCGCCTTCATCCCTTCCTCCCACTCCCCACGGCACCTGGTCGTGAGTGGAGTCGAGGTAGGCCTTGGCGAGCTGGCACACGGGGCGCTCGTCGAAGCACCAGGCGCGCAGCACGAGGCCGGGCAGTGCACAGCGGTCGCTGCCCTGGCAGGCGCCGCAGAAGATGCGCCCCGTGTAGTGGCACAGCCGTGGCGCCGCCACTGGGGGCGCCAGCGCTGGCAGCGGCTGGAAGAAGAGCAGCGCGGACGCAGAGGAGCGCGCAGCTTGCACGTCCGGGAGGAGTGGCCTGGGCGACAGGCGTGGTGGGGTGGGGGTGGAGGAGGGCGCAGGGAGGACGGGAGTGAGTGGAAAAGGAAGGCGGGTGAGAGGCATGAACGTTGCTATGAACGTTGCTGCGTTGCAGGGCGTATGGAAGGACGTGGAGTGGGATGGTGCGTGCAGGGTGATGGCGGGATGCGAGAGGGCGAGAGACAGTGGCATGGTGCGTGTGAAAGCGCAGTGCCCCGTGATTCCCACATGTGGCAGCCCGCTGTGGCGCCTGACCTCCTGCAGGCGGCGCAGCAGTGGCGCTGCAGCAGCATCTGGCGCTGCACACTGGCGTCGTCATCCCTCACCACCTCCACACTCAGCCGCACCATCAGCCCCCCGCCTCCCCCCCGCCTCACCATCTCGCCCCCTCTGTCCCCCGTCAACCCCGCCACCGCTGCCAAGTCCGCGCCCTCGCTTCCCCCCTCGCCCTCCGCCCCATCCCTGCGCGCCCCCTCCCCACCCTCCTCCGCCATCTCCCCCCCTCCCAGGCGCATCAGTGGCATCGCGTCCCCATTGCTCTGCCCCCGTGTGGGCGGGGTGGAAGGCGCGCCTGGCAGTGCGGGGGGCAGCCACGCGGACAGCCCTCCGCCCAGCCATGCGCCCGCCCGCCCCCCTCCCAGCAGAGGGGGAGGCGCCCATGCGCCTGAGGGAGCATCGGGGGAAGGGGCGGACGCGAGGGCGGCCCAGGGGGTGTGCTGCATGATGGGGTGCGCGAGGAAGGAGAGGAGGGGCGGCGCAGTGGAGAGGGGGGGCCCTGCCGCGAGGAGGGCAGAGATAGCGGACTGCAGGAGGTGGGAGCGGCGCAGGACGGCGGACGCACTGGCGCCGCCCAGGAAGCGACCCGCCTCCTCGCGCACCGCATGCCATGCCACGGCCACAGGGGACGGCGGTGCTGGGGGGTGAAGTTGGGGCGCGCGCGGGACTGGGGGCGAGAGAACATGGGAGTGCGCGAGGGGCGAGTAGGGCAGCGCGAGCATGGCGTCGCCGTCGAGCAGCGCGCGCATGTGCTGCTGCAGCTCCACCAGCTCGCGGAACCGCCGCTCCACGTGCCACTCGCGGCCTGCGCGCACGCGCACGCGCATGCGGTACACGGCGTGGCTGCGCACGCCCACCAGGCGGTCGCCCAGCGACACCTCGCCCTGCACCAGCCGCGACCCCACCACGTCCACGCGCGCCACGTGCTCCCCCTCCGCCAGCACCGCCTCCCCTGGAACCCCTCCCCCTCCGCCTGCGCCCTCGTGCTCCGTGCGCCCATCCGCCACTCTGAACGGCCTCTGCGCCGCCCTGCCCCTGCCCCGCCCCGCGTGCGCGGGAGGCGCGGCGTCGTTCCCCCCGTCGAGCACGAGCACCTCCTCCATGTCCGCCAGCAGCGCCATGTCCATGTACCGCTCCTGCAGCGCCGCCCCGCGCTCCATGCGCGCGCTCATCTGCGCGGAAGGGGAAGCGGGGCAGCGGGAGTGGAGGGTAAGTAGGAGGGAGTTAAAACCTAGTCCCTGAAAAGAGCAAAGAGGCGGCCGGGCAAGCGGCAGAGGCGGGGAGTGCGCGTCACCTCGTCGTTGCTGGACGACACTGCGAGCCCGCTGTCGTCCGCGCGCACAACCCACTCGCATGCTTCCGCGTCTTGCCCTGGGCTTGATGGGACAGCGGGGAGGCGGAGGCCGTCAGGACTGTCGTGAAGCGCGGAAGGTGACGGGGCGGGATGAAGAGGCGAGAAAGCGATGCCACGGGCAGAGCCCGTGATTCCCGCTGTTAGATCCTCTCCCACGCCATTTTCGCGATTCGCTTTTCCTGCTTCCGTTGCACCGCCGTCCCCATCGCGGTACGCTTCACTCTCCGCAAAAGCGCCGCTATCAGTGTGTGGCATGACGGACCCGGCGGCATCAACCACGGCGGTTGACTGCGTCGTGCCGCCAGTGCCAGCCTCCATCCGTCTGTCCCCCGCTACTGCGTCTGACTCCTCTGCTGGCAAGCCGCACCCCTCGGCTTCTTCCCAGCCTAAGCCCTGCTCCCGTGCATCACACTCGCGCTGCTCCACCGCGCTCTCGGCCGCGGCCACATCGTGACGTACATATGGTTGAACTGTCTCATCGCCGTCCATTGCTCTAATGCCACGTACACGTCACCTAATATGTAAGGCGTACAGCTAATTCTAGTTTGGAAACATGAAGGCGCAAGCTAGTGAGGAGTGAAGATTCGAGGGGAAGCAGGGAGGGACAGGTCGATGCGGCACGACACCACAACGGTTCTTCAGAGTTGCGATTTGCTTCGCATAAATTTCGCACCCAGTACACCATAATCTCGCACAAAAATCACCACCCCTTCAAGGTTACAGCGTGTTACAGTGTGTACACTCATGCAGCTCCCTATGTTGCGACCTTAACAAATCTAAACTCGTTACCATCACGCATTGTCTACAAAGAGAAGGATTGTGTCTGCTTGTTCTATTTACATCATTAATACACATAGAATATCCACGTAAATTGGCAACATCTTATTGGAATGAGATAACCATTTCCGCCAGTTTCCAGCGAAGCACCGCACTGCAATGTACTCTAATTTTCCAAACCGCACGGCACCTTGTAGCACTGCAATGCACCCTAATGCACTCTAATTACCTCTCTGGTAGCGCGGAGCCACCTTGTTTTTGTTCGCTGAATTCTTCGTGCCTTTCGCCAGGATTTACGATTTAGGCATCGTCCCGCTTTGCGAAAATGGCGCCCAATAGCGCGCGAGATGCGCCATCGTTGCCTGAGCGCGTGGAGATCGCGGGGCGCGATATCGATCCCGAGGACGACTACGACTACGGGTACGAGGACGAGGGCGACGCGTCTTCCGTGCCCACCAAGAAGGTGCCCAACGGCACCGTTTACGAGGCAGCGCGCGCCGGGGACGTGGATCGGCTGACGTGGCTGGTGCACGAGGAGGGCGTAGACGTGAACGCGCGCGACCGATGGGACTCCGTGCCGCTCTACTACGCTTGCCTCGCTGGTGCGCGCGGGGGAGGGGCGGAGAGAGCGGGTGGAGAGGAAGAGAGGGGCGTTCATGACTGATGGGGAGGCTAGGGACGTGAATAGTCTGCCCCCGATTCTGTCACTGGCTTGATCCCGTATGGCCTCATGAAAAGTGGCGCCTTTACTGTCCTTCCAGATGCACTATTCCGTTGCCCCCCGCCCTGGTTCACCCTTTCTCGTCTCTCTCTGCTCCCCCCCGCCCTGACTCCAGGCCATCTGGAGGCGGCGCGCGTGCTGCTGGAGGCGGGCGCGATCTGCAGCGAGCACACGTTCGACGGGGACAGGTGCCACTACGCCGCGCTCACGCTCCGCATCCGCCGCCTGCTCAAGCGCTACGAGATGCGCCCGCCGCCCCTGGACCCGCTGCCCAAGGCCTTCAAAGACCTCCTCGACGCCACCGCCGCCAAAGCCGAGGCCCTTTCCCCCTCCGCCAGTGCCACCCCCGGCCCCCCGTGCGTCCCCGCAGCGCTGCTCGACCCGCGCGACCCGCTGGCCCCGGACATCGCGTTCCACATCGACGGGCGCGTCGTGCTGGCGCACAAGCCCGTGCTGGCCGCGCGCTCCGACTACTTCGACCGCGCCTTCGCCACCAAGTGGCGCGACCGCTGCGAGGTGTTCCTGGCCAACCCGCGGCTGACACATGGCGCGCTGGCGGCGCTGCTGGGGTTCGTGTACTCGGACCGCCTGGACGTGCCCGTGGCGGGGCTGCCCGACCTCGTGCGCGCATGCCGCGCCGCCAAGTGCGGGGCAGGGCTGGTGCGCGCCGTGGACCGGGAGCGCGTGCACGACAAGCTGGCGCAGCACAAGGTGCCGCCACGGCGCGCACTGGGGCTGAGGAGGCGAGGCAGGGGGGCGAGGGGCAGGGCCGGGGGCGAGGGAGAGTTTGTGAACGGGGAGGTGGCAGCAGATGCCGGAGAGGGGAGAGGGGATGCAGATGGTGGGGCGGGCGAGGGGGAGGGGACGGCCGAGGGAGAGGAAGAGGACGGGAGCAGCGAGCGAGGGCGAGAGAGGGAGAGGGAAGAGGAGGAGGAGGCGCAGCGGCGGTTCATTCTGACTGCGGCATCGCTGCCCGAGGAGGAGAGGCTGGCGGGCGGCATGCAGCGGCTGCTAGCGCGGTGCATGGCGAGGTCTGACACGCGGGCCATGCACGCGCATGGGGAGGACGTGGAAGCGTATGGGGAGCCTGAGGGGGAAATTGCAGATGGCGGGGGTGCAGAGGTGGATGGCGGGGGGCAGATGGGTGGGGATGGTGCGGAAGGTGAGGCGAGAAGGAAGGTGCGGTTTGGCACGGTTGAGTCGAGCGGGGATGAGGGGCGTGAGTGGGCGAGGGGAGAGGACGGGGATTGGAGGGGCGAGGGTGCGAATGGGCGTGGTGGCGGTGCGGTTGAGCCCGACCACGCAGACTGCTGCTTCTCCGTGGCGGGGTGTGTGTTGCGCTGCCACCGCGTGGTGATGGCTGCTCGCTGTGACTACTTCAGAGTGCTCTTCGTGCGCCAGGCAGTGCACGCACACTCGCCACCGCACTGCACATCTGCAGCAGACGGACAGGGGGGTGGGACGGCAGCGGTGCTGCTGAGAGATGACGGGGTGGTGCTGCCGTGCTTCCACCTGCCTGACCTCACCCCCTACGCCTTCCACAAGATCCTCGAGTTCATGTGCTGCTCCCCGCCCTGTCCTCCTTGTCTTGCTGCCGTTATCTTCTCTGCCACAATCATGCCTACCTCCTCCACATGTCATATCCCTCCACCCATTCTTCCCACACTGCGAATTGTGTGTTGTTGCATGTGCCACGTGCCATTGCCCGAGGTCGTGGATCTCCGCTCACTACCCTTGTGCATGTCCTTCCCACCCTTTCCCTGCTGCTCCCTTCTTCCCTCTTCCGCACGTGCCGCGTTCATGTCACTCGCAGCTACACAGATCGCATCCAGCACATTGCTGTCAGCCAGGTAATCCTAGCTGCCATTGCCTGCCCCTTCCGACTTCTACTCTCAACACTTATTCTTGCGTATATCGTCAACGCACACACTTTTTTCATCTTCCCTCTGTGTGCCTGCTCGTCTTGCTGGCCGTCCACGCCTCCTCAACAACCTGCTTCCTCCCTTCAACTTCCCTGCACCCCCCTGCACGGGCACTGCGGCAGGCGATGGACGTGATAGACGCAGCGGCGCGCTTCCTGCTCTTCCCACTCAAGCGCGCAGTGGCGGACGCCCTCATCCCCCACCTGCACTCCGCCGACATGCCCTCGCTCTGCCACTGGCTGCTCGCTGCTGACCTGTACTCCTCTTCTCTCCCTGCCCCCTCACTCCTTCCCTGTGTCCGCCTCCGCATTGCCTGCTCTGTCCTCCACTCACCACCATTTCTCGCTCGCCTGTCCTCTTGCAATGCTGCTCATGGCATCAGCTCAGTCACTGGATGGCAGCACAGGCACACTCGTGTTCTCCCTTGTAAGCCCTGTACGCCTATTGTGGCTGTGTTTCGTGCATGTAACGCTGTGTGCTGCATGACATGGCATGTGGCAGGTACGGAGTGTGGAAGCTTAGGGAGCACGTGCTGGACGTCATGGCCGCCAACTTTGACGCCTTTGCCGCCTGCCCTGCCTTCCGTGCCATGCTCGCACGCCTGCCCCCTCCCTCGGGCGACGACTCCGTGCGCACCACTGCACCCTCGCTGCCCGGCGACCAACTGCCCACTTCCGTGAGGCAAGCAGCAGGGGGTCCAGGGGGTGATGGAGTGGGCGTGGGGGAAAGCATGAACGTGCTGGATGACTTGCGGGAGAAGTGGCTGGAGCTGGAGGGAGCTGAGTTAGAGGAGCGGGACGCCAGTGCTGCTGAATTTGACAAGCGCCTAGAGACGCTTGCAGCTTTGGCGGTTGGTGAGGAAGAGGAGATCTAGGACGGGCTGAATGGAAATTATGTTTTGAGCGAATATCATTCAAAAATGATGTCATGCATTTGTTTGCAGAAGGGTGCATTTTTTCATGTTTATGCAGAGTCTATTATGTTACTAAAAGTGTGTGTTACGAGTGTATAGTCTGCCGCAAGAGAAATTTCTTCGATCTTGCTGGCCGGAAACGTCAAAAGCGGATGAGGTCATCCTCCGTCGCAGTTGCTGAACGACAATGACGTGGCACCGCAGCCGAGGGCGCGTACAGCTTGCCCGACCCATCCTCCTGAGGTTCCACGGGAGGGCAAAGATTAAACTGGGGCCGAAAAATAGCACGGGAACCAAATTAGGGCCGGAGAATCCGAACCTGGGCTTTTGGAGCTAAAATCTAATTCGATTTCACTTGTCAGAGGTTCTGACAACCCCGCGCGTCGTAACTGATGGATTCAAAAATTTATGTCGTTATGTCGAGATAACTCAGTGTTTTCCACTCGTCAGCACTACGAAGCACAAGACGACGCTACCAGAAACTGCTAGGGCAAGGAGGAAAAACTAATCCCCTAGAGAACCTGGACGCATTTTCGGGAGGGATCAACCCTAAACACGGGAACCCAAGTAGAATGTAGGGTTGATGCCTCCCCGAGTCGCATCCGTTTCCGTTTTGGTTTTTTTTTTGTGGTCAGCTAAAGTGATGTAACCTCCTCCCAGAGAAATACGACGCGAGTTTCGTAATAGGTGGCGACCATAAACTACAAAAACGAATTGATCCAAAAAAGTCGAAGGGTTTCTATTTTCCTGTAAATCTTGGTTCGAATTCTCGGCCCTACCACTTGGGTAGCCTCGGAGGTACATCCAACGGTTGGGGTTAACCCGGCCCTAATTTGGTCACTTTCCTGCTAATGTTCGGCCCCAGTTTGATCTTCTCCCTCCACGGGACTGCCCCGCGCGAGAGCCCCGCAACCGTACCTCTGCTGATCCACTTCCTCGGGACCTTCGCCGCGATTCCGCTATGGCAACTCGGGTGCGGGGAGAAACTGACGAGCACCTACAAATGCAAACGGGTAGTGCCTGTGGAGAATCTTCAGCTATCCCAGTACATTTTTGTGTTGCCTAAGTTAGCACAACGCAACCCAGCCTCATCACCCTTCTGACGCTCATTACGAGCATTGATTATTGCTAGACATCCCACACGTTCCCTCGACGCCACATGGCGAATGCGGACTGGGTAGCGCTGGCAGAGCTATGGATGCGCAGCTACTGCCCGCCCATGGACGCCGCCCTCATGCACCAGCTCGCCGCGCGCACAGTCTCGTCGCTCGCCGCGCCATCCGTCAAAGGCGCCACGGGGTCCTCAAGTGCGACCGGCGGCGCCGCAAGCTCTTCCGAAGAGCCGCATGGCGCGGCGGTGGCGGGGCAGATGCAGGTCGAGCTCGCGGCGCTTTTGGGAGGCAAGGTGCCGCGAGGGGAGGCGACGGACGGTGAGGGGGACGGGACGGAGCGCGGATGCGAGAGCGTGGAGAAGCACTGCCTGCAGTCGCTGGTTGACATCCACGTGTCGCACGGCCGATGCCAGTGCAGCATCTCCGTAACGCCTGAATTAGTGGTACAGCTATTTCTCGCCTTCCCCCCTCTCTGTCACACTATCGATTTCCCTCTCCCTCCCTCGCTCCTTCCCGTGTGTGGCTGCAGGCGCTATTCCACCGGCGCAGCGACGGTGTGCTGCTGGCAGTGGGGCGCCACACCAAGTTTCTGGTGGGGCCGCAGCGGCAGAGCAGGGCACCTGTGAGGGGCGCAGGGGGCCACGCAGAGCAGCAGGCTCGCCAGGGTAGTGGGGCAGACAAGCAGGGCGATGCAGGTGGTGCACGCAGCAAGGCAGTCAGCGGGGAGGTGCCTCTGGACAGTGGGCTGAGGAACCAACTTACACTTAGATCCAGGCTGTGAACACATTATGTTACCGGTACTACTGATTGCCTCGTTGTACTTGGGAGTTAGCATTTATGCTGCAGTGTAAGTAAAACGTTACAAACAAATGTGTGAATGCTATCCACTCATCATATCCACTTGAATGGTATTACTGGTATCCAGCTGCATTATCCACTTGAATTCAAGAACCATAAGTTTAAGGGTGCAGCAGAGCATCAGTCATCATCATCATCGGTGCGGCGCTGCGAGCGGCGCGAGCGCATGATGGCGCGGAACTGCTCGCCCTCTGCTCGCAGCTGCTGCCGCCACAGCACCTGCTGTGCCACATGGTCCGCCACTATCTGGAAGCCCCCACCCGCACCCCCCGCCCCACTGCCCACTGCCTCCGCCTCCTCCGCTTGCACAGGATTGGTTGCCTGCCATGCCCCGCCACACCAAGGGGCATGGTTGGGTGGGTAGCACGGAAGGGGGAAACGGGGAAGTGGGTTTACCGTATTAGGGAGATGCGGTGTGGGAAGGGGAGTGTGGGCGGTGCAGAGAGGTTTAGCATGTTCATGGTGTTTCGAGTGTGCCATGATGCAAGGCGGCAAGGAAAACAAGCAAGCATGGCAAGTGCAGCAGCACCAAAGAGACAAGCAAGCACATGCACAGCAGCGGTGGCCCGGTGGAGGGTGCGGGGTGCAGGGTGGGGCAGTACCAAGGAGTAGCCGGCACCAGGGCCGATGATGAGCGAGGGGCGTGTGGGGGGCGTGGCAGCACCCATGGTGAACCCCGCATCCTGCTGCCGTGGGTGGTGCACACACACACACATGGGAGGGCGTGCACGGCATGGCATGCGGTTGAGTGGATATGATGGAGTGGTGGAGAGGGATGAATGCAATGCGACGTGGATTAGTGGCGGAGAATGGTGGGCAAGGGTGGCCCATATTGATACCTGGGAGTGGTCTTGGTTGTCAACCCATCGCAGAGCCTTCTTCTTGCCACAACCATTTGACCCCTTGAGAATGCCGCGCACTGCCTTGCTGCCGCCCGCTGTGGCACCCTGTGCAGCCCCCTGCTTCTTGTGGCGCTTGTGCTTCTTCTGCTTCTTCTGACTGCCATATGCAGCCAGAAGGCCCGCCAACGCACCTCCACCTCCACCACTCTCCTCCTCATCATCCTCATCATCATCCCCATCATCATCTTCCTCATCACTATCCCCGTCACCATCAGCATCAGCATCAGCATCAGCGTCAGCATCAGCAGCCCCAGCATCTCGCCTTCTCTTCACACCTGCCCCATTGCCATCCCGTTCGCCTGCCCACCGTCCCTCTGCACTGCTCTGCCCCTCTTCACCCCTACCATCCGAAGCACCTTTCGCCTTATCCTGCACCGTCTGCTGCTGTTGCAGCAGCTGCTGCTGCTGCTGCTGCTGAGTTGCTCCTCCTCCTCAGCAGCAGCAGTGGCGGCCTCCTCCTGTTCCATGTGCAGCTCGTCATCCTCTGCATCCATCTCCACCTGCCATGCCATGCCATGCCACGCCATGCCATGCCATGCCACGCCATGCCATGCCATGCCATGCCATGCCATGCCACGCCATGCCATGCCATGCCATGCCATGCCATGCCACGCCATGCCATGCCATGCCATGCCATGGTGCAGGGAGCCCGATCATAAACAGCATAGAGCTCTTTCAGGGGCAGAGGAGAGGAGGAAGAGAGGGCGTGCAGTGCAGAGACGAGGACGCGGGCTGTGCTGTGCTGTGCTGTGCTGTGCTGTGCTGTGCTGTGCTGTGCTGTGCTGTGCTGTGCTGTGCTGTGCTGTGCTGTGCTGTGCTGTGCTGTGCTGCTGTGTGGCGCTGTGCTATTGGGACATAACTAGTGGCGGAAAGGGCTTACCTCTGTGATGGATGCATCGTCAAGAGTATCTTCATGGAACAATGACTGCCGCGCACATGCACACACGCCCACACACAGCGCCACCAGTTACACACACAGGTCACGTGCGTGAGTCAAAGGGTGCCCGGCAAGCACAACAGGACTGGCCAACAGGTCTTAATAACAGAGGGGGGTTCAGAGTGGTAAGCAGAGAAGCTCAGAGGCAAGAGGGCAAGCATAAGAAGACACCAGGAGGGCAGATGCAGAGGCGCACATGCAATGCAACATTGATAGGGGTGTGCGTTGCAACATGGGAGGCTGACCTTGACATCGAGCAACAGCATGTGCGGCGGCTGGGCCTCCCACTGCCCTGCCATGGCCTGCACCTGCTGCAGTGAGAAGCCATGTGTGTTGCGCCCCGCACACAGCTGCCAGGGGGAGACGCAGGGAGTAGGATGGTTCCGTGCACTCTTGCAGGCATGCATGGCATGGGTGCACACATTGCCGCTTCTTCCAGGGACCACACAGAATTGGCATGAAAAACGAGCAATGTGGTGGGCACATGTAGCGAGTTGCAGGGGACATGTAGCGAGTTGCAGGGGACATGCAGGGCACAGTGTGGGTGGGGTGGGGAGAGTGAAGAGGCGAGGCAGATGGCACGTACGGTTGGGTGGCTGGATGCGGATGGCTGCACCACGTACACCTCAAAGCCCGCACACTGGGACAGCACACAGGGCACACAGCACACACGGGAGGCGCACTGAGACCTCATGCACTGCCTTGCGACCCCTGCTTGATGGCTCACACCACCCATAGCTTAATCATGGCATGCCAGCAGCACGGCACATCGCATGCAAGGTGCAGTCACAAGCCGGGTGCAGTCACATGCAAGGTGCCGTGGGGAGAGAGGCATGTGAGGGTATGCTTGATGTCATAGTACCATGGCATGGCAAATAGTGCGGGCAAGACAAGGGTTCATACCGTACACGGCATTGCAGCAGAGATGCAATGGCATGGCATGGTATGGGGGAGACCAGATGACATGGCATGACATGGTATGGCATGGGGGAGACCAGATGGCATGGCATGGCATGGGGGGAGGGAACAGCTACCTTGCCAGCTTTCCAAAATGGCTCGAATTGCGACACACGCACGTTGCGGTCCTCCACTGGATAGTCAGGCCATGGCATCATGTGGCGCCACGTGGCATGATATGGCGCCATGTGGCGTGATGTTATGGGATGTGATGTGCACATGGTGTGACGTGGTGAAATGCGGTGGCATGAGATGCGATGGCATGGGGACTGAGATACCAGTCACATCACATGCATGCATACTCATTCGCTGCAGCTTGCTTGTTGCACACGAGCGTAGTGCTGCACAACACACTGCTAATCAACACCTGGCTTAAGCAAGGCCGCACGCTGTGGGCGCGGCGCTAAGGCAAAGGGCAGACGTGAGAATGTGAACAGTGGTGCACATGAGGAGCACCGTTCAGAAGCGTGACACACGCTGCTTGTTGCACACGCTACGAGGGTGCAGAAAGAAAAGAATGCCTTATGGGACAAGCAAGTCAATGGGATGAAGTGGTGAGACAAGGAGGGCGACTAAATGAGGAAAGGTGAGTAACTGGCTGCAAGTAACGAGGAGAGGAGAAGGAGAGGGGGAAGGGAGGGAAGAAAGTGGTGGAGGGCCAAGTACAAATCGTGCAAGGAGAGGAGCGTGGAAAAGGGGAAAGTGTGGGAATCTGGGGAAGAAAGGCGTGGAAGAGTCGGCATGGAGGGTGGAAGAAGGGCGTAGGGGGGCACCGATGATGAAGGAGAAGCGCCCCTCTTCCAATGCCTTGCGATACGCTCTCAGCATGCTGGCTCGGTACAGCTGCATGTGGTGCACACCATGCATGCACAAAAAGACATGCGTAGACCAAAACACATGCATGCGTGCACTCAAACAAGTACATGCACATGTGCACATACACGCACACATGTGGTGTACAAAGGATGGGAGGGTAGGATAGTGAGAGGCGGCTGAAAATGGCGAGCAGCACAAGGCGTGGAACACAGCGGGGGTTGGGAACAACAGAGAGAAAAATGCAAATGCCATTCCCCGTGCCCCATGCACCATGCCCCATGCACCATGCCCAATGCCCCATGCCCAATGCCCCATAAGCCAAGGGGCCCAAAACACATGCCCCAAGCACCATGCCCATGCCCCATCCCACCCACCCATGCTGACTGGTTCCCCTGCCCCGCGCACCTCCTCCTGTGTCGCGTCATACTTGTACCGCGCCTCGCCCCCTCCCTTCACCACTTCCCCTCCGCCCTTGCCTCCTCCCTTCCGCCTGCGTGCCGCCGCTGCCCGCTCCTGTGCCATGTTGCACGCGGAACACACGTGAGGGACAGGCAAGGGGGTGGAAAGGACACGTGGGTGGGTGGCAGGATGCGGACAAGGATACACGGCGATTGGGAGCAACGCTTAGGGCATAAAAATCGCACATGCCAGCACTCCTTTGAGCAGACGCGGCGAGGAGAGACAAGTACGCACATGGAGGACGTGCCAGTCACCCTCACGCCCTGCTCCTTGTGCGCGGCAGTACCCTGCGCCCCCCTTGCCCCCATCCCATGCAGGGTGTACGTAACGTGCATGCTCATCATCCTCCTCCTTGTCATGCAGCATAAAGTAGTCGTCCAGGGCGAACACTCTCGGCACCGGCCCCCCTCCCCCATGCATGGCGTACACTACCCCGCACTCCCCTTTCCCCCATGCATGGCGTACACTACCCCGCGCTCCCCTTTCCCCCATGCATGGCGTACACTACCCCGCGCTCCCCTTTCCCCCATGCATGGCGTACATACATGCTCATCCTCGTCGTCATCATCGTCATGCAGCATGAAGTAGTCGTCCAGGGCAAACACCCTGGGCGCCGCCCCCCCGTTGGTCACCTCCACGTCCCGCAGCGCCCTCGCCAAGTGGCTCTTGCCACTGCCTGCCATGCCGCATGCACACCGGGGCACACGGGCACAGGGGGACAGGGGCACACGGGCACACGGGCACAGGGGCACAGGGGCACACGGGCACACGGGCACAGGGGCACAGGGGCACACGGGCACACGGGCACAGGGGCACAGGGGCACAGGGGCGGGCAGACGAAGACAAGGACGCAGCAGAGCCACACACACGGGAGTTTAAAAGGGTGGTAGGCGGAAGGGAGCAATAAATGTGGGTGATTGTGGCATAGCATGCCATGCCGCATAGTATACCCACGAACCTGGCAAGCCACGGAGGATAATGACAAACCGCGCTGGCCGTCTGAGCCGACCAGGTTCCCTGAAGATACAGGAAGCGTCCACCACGGGTGACAAATTTGGCGCTGCTGCAGGCGCGCCTGCGCCCCTCGCCCTGCTGCCCGCCTGCCCTCGCGATGGGGGGGACAGCCGCGCCCGCTCCCTCTCCCTCTCCCGCTCCCTCTCCCCGCCTCGCCCTCGCCCCTCTCTGTTCCCCCTGTAATCTCGCCCCTTGCCCCTCTCCAATGCCCCACTCTCATCCCCCCGCCGCTGCTGCTGCTGCCGTTGTTGCTGCTGCTGATGATGCTGCTGCTGCTGTTGCTGCTGTTGCTGTTGCTGCTGCTGCTGCTGGTGCTGCTGTTGCTGCTGCTGCTGGTGCTGGTGCTGGTGCTGCTGCTGCTGCTGCTGTTGCTGCAGCTGCTGCTGCTGGTGGTGGTGGTGGTGGTGGTGCTGCTGCTGCTGCTGCTGCTGGCGCTGCGCTTCCTCCCATTGTTCGCGCTCCCGCGTCTCCCCGCCACCGTGCGCCTCTCCTGGGTAAAGCGGTGGTCGTTCCTGCTGCGCCTCGGGGTACGGCGCGTACCGACTGGCATGCTGTTCTTGGAAATACCGGGACTCTAACGCCCCCTGCGCCTCCTGCTGCTGCATGTGCGGCGGGAAGGGCGGCGCCTGCTGCCAGCCCCACGTCGCCTGATGCGCCGCGTCACCCGCCGGCCCTCCGACTTGAACCTCCGCCGCATACCCATTGGCGGACGCCTGCTGCGGTTGCGCGTACAGCGTAGCTGACGGCGGAAGTGGCGGGGGAGGATGTGAGGGAGGCGGGGGGTTGGAAGGAGGGGGAGGATGAGGGGGGAGGGGAGGATGAGAGGGAGGAGGGGGTTGCGAAGGGAGGAGAGGGGAATGAGACGGAGGGGGAGGTTTCGACGGGGGGAGAGGAGGATGAGAGGGAGGGGGGGGTTGCGAAGTGGGGAGAGGAGGATGAGAGGGAGGGGGGGAGTTGGAAGGAAAGGCGGGAGGAGGGAGATGGTAGTTGGGCGCATGCCAGTGACCCGCGCCCTCAAAACCGGGCACGCCATCTCCCGCCGCCCAGTACTGTTGCGCCGCTTGCGCCTGCTGCTGCCAAGCAGCCTCAGTCGCGCCCGGCCACGCGCCAGGGGGAGTGATGGTCGCATCCCAGGAGTTAGTTGCGGGCGCAACTGGCAGCGGGGGAGTGCCGGCGGTGGAATCGGTGGAACAAAACGGCGCGTGAAGCTGGGCGCAGACCGGACAGCGTGACGACGCGGAGACGGCGGTGTGAGCGGAATAGGAGGCGTAGTTAGGCGTGGAAAGAAGGGCCGCGGCGGACGAGGGATCTGCGGGTGGCGGCGGCCAAGAATGGGTAGAGGGCGCGACGAGATGCATCGGGGGCTGGTAAAGAGGAGGAGCGCCTTGCACGAACGGCGGCCATGTGCTCGGATCCATGGTTTAGCGTGACACCCTTGCTGGACCTAACGATTTTTCTGGGTGGAGCCTGTTACCAGGTCAGAAAAATATCCATCACACTGCTTGCAGTTGTGATCTACTATTCTCCGGACAAGCTGTAACATCTTTTATATTCTGGTTGTTGAGATATACCAATTTAAACAGTCACTATGAGCTAATATGGAGAACGTGCAACTTCATTGCTATACATTCTTCCATGTGTTATGTATCATCAAACCATGTGTGTAAAATTAACAAATAGCGAAGCCATGACAAAAATAACTAATAATACAATAAGGTCGCTAGAATATGTCAAGAAGCCTGCATAGGCAGGAAATTCGTTAAAAAAAAGTTTGGGTATAGGCTGGCCACATAAACGGTCAAAGGAGCGCTTGATAGGTGCCCTGCCCATGATTCATTCTATATTAGTAAGTATAAGATAGAAGTTCAGGATTCACTAAAAACAGTGGATATCCCACACGATCGCCAGAAGCCTTCCAAGTTCCAAGTGCTTGCAAATGTAAACCCCTGTCGTTCGTGGTGCACACTTGTGCTCGCAAGAGAGATCCGTGGTGCTGGGCTGGGAGTGTGAAGTTTGTGGCTCCCTGATTCCAGCCAATCACATCATGTCAAAGAACATATCCACTCCCCCCTTCCCATGATCCGGTACTTGGTGAGCTTACTGATGTGGCAAATTTCCGAGGGAAAGGGTTTGGGCACGTGCGGTAAGGCATCACTATTGCGCCATGTCAGACACCCTCCCACCATAATTGACCAGTAATTGGTGCTTTAAAAGGCCATATTCAGAAATGCGAAACACAGCTAAGCACTGACCCTACCGAGCTTGGAATTGTCTCATGTGGCTCTTGAATCAGGAAAATGTATCTGGAACTAGGGGAGCAGCTGACATCCGTAAATCAAAACACGCCTTACGTAATACCAGTCCCAGATCCAAGGCTCACCACAAACAAAGATTCATCAGTTTGTTCCCTCATCTGACAGGTGGCGTCATCGCAGAGCGAGTCGCTGATTCAGCGCGGTTTGTAAACCACGTCTAATCCAACCAACCAAGCCACAAAAGCATCTTTCTCAGTCTGACCATCCCGTCGTTGCAACAGCCTGATCGTGGGCAGGTTGTTGTGGGTTATCTCAAGCTCCGCCATTGATCTTTAGCTGAAGCACACTACACCTCCTCAACCCGCCAGACCTTCCAGTCACTCACTTTGGTCTCTCCGGCGTTTGGGAGCCTTGTTCACAGCTCATCAATGGCCAATCAAGCAGCTACACTGGTGGGCGTCCACCGATAACGCAGTCTGCCCGTGCATGTCGCGCCTTCTTATAACAACTCGACGTTTCTGTTGCTTACTGACGTGCTTCTTTGTGCCCATTGCGGTTCTTCTCCCCTACGGTTTCCTTTCGTTCCCCTACGGTTTCCTTTCGTTCCCCTTCAGATGGGCACCACGCTCCCCGCCCTGCGCGTTGCAGTAGCGCCTACGCCGGTGTCAGCGCGGGCAGCAGCGTCGCCTGTGCGCGCGGCGCTGAACACCAAAGTGCTGGAGAGCAAGTCGCTGGGCGAGCTGCGACAATTGGCGAAGGAGCGCGGAATGCGCGGTGACACCAAGGCGGAACTCGTCAAGCTGCTCGCGTACGTCGTCCAACCTAAACTCGACACTCTCTGATTAGGTTGTCTAAGTCTGCTGTACTTACACAACCCCTCCGTATCCTTCCACTTTTCCCCTTTTCCTTTCGCCCTTGCTCGCTTTCTCCGCGTGGTCACGCGTTACAGGTCCAGCTACGCCGCAGCGCCCACGGGTAACGGTGCGGTGGCGGCGAAGGCGGCGGCGACGGTGAACCCGCAGCTGAAGAAGCAGCTGGAGGCCATGCCCATGGCGCAGCTGCGCGCGCAGGCGCGTAGCAGGGGCATCTACGGCGGCAGCAAGGCGGAGATTGTCGCCGCGCTACTGTGAGTTCCTTGACCGCGCTCCATCTTCCGCCATCGACATCATCGACCTGTGAACCCACGCCATTCTCCCGACCCTGCGCTCCTGTTTGCTGTCCGTTCCGGCTGGCCCATCTCTGCCAAGTTTTTCTGCACTGCTCCTTCCTCTCACGGGTGCCAAGTCTCTTGCCTTCATTCCGCCACTTTCCCACCTCCTTGATTTCCCCCGTTGAACCAGCGCTGCGGGCGCAGCGCCAGCAGGCGCTGCGTCGTCAGCCCCCGCTTACTCCAACGGAGCAGTTGCTTCCGCGCCCGCTGCGGCGGCGCCTGTGGCGGCCGTGCCTTCATCGTCGGACCTGGCGCGGCAGCTGCAGACGAAGCCGCTCGCGGTGCTGCGCGCACTGGCGCGGCAAAAGGGGCTGCGCGGCAACACCAAGGAGGAGCTCGTCGCCGCCCTCGTGTGAGTCATCGCTCGCGCGGCGTCGACCGCCGTCCTTCCCAAATAGCATCGTCACGTGCTCCACAGAGAGCCCCTGCATTTATTTTCCTTGGCCTTCCACGTTGTTCCCTGTGCTCGCGCGTCTAACCTTTCACTCCAGCGCTCCATCTCTCTAACGGTCCACCACGCTCCTCCCTCCCGATCCTTCTCCCCCAGCTCTGCCGCCGCACCCGCTGCTGCATCACCGGCGCCCGTTGCCTCTCCCGCTGCTGCCGCTACCGCTACCTCCGCCCCTTCCTCGCCCGCCGCCTCTCCCGCCGCCGCCGCGCCCGTCACCGTGAACGCTAGCGCGCAGGCGCTGGCACGGCAGCTGCAAACACGGCCGCTGTCGGCGCTGCGCGCCATGGCGAACGCCAAGGGCATCTCGGGGGCCGCCGCGCCCAAGGATCAACTCATCCGCGCCCTCGTGTAAGAGAGAACAGATGGGTGACGCGTGGGGGTGTTAGCTGGGGAACCTGGAATTTCGTAGGATGGGAATAAGGATTCACGCGTCCGCGAGATACGAGAATGAACCATGCTTGCATCGTCCGTGCGTGCGTCCGCGCGCTCGCACTCCATGTGCCAACGCTGCTGTTCCTACATGCTCCCTGTCCCCAATGTGCTGCCCGCAGCGCCGCAGCCACGGCGACGGCGGCGAACGTGACGGAGGTGAAGGCCGCCGCATCCGTGCGCGCGTCGGAGCTGCAGAGCAAGCCGCTGTCGGAGCTGCGCACCATTGCGCGCGCGCGGGGCATCCGCGGAGACACCAAGGCGGAGCTCGTTAAGCTGCTGTACGTGCCCATCACCTGCAGCCCCTTCCCCTCGCACCTCTTGCCATCTCCACTCCCGAGACACTTCCCACTGCCCCTTCTCTTATTTCTGCCTTAGTTTCATCCCCCCTATCCCCCCGCTGCTCCCACCCCGTTCTTTCCCCTGTGCGCGCCCCCTGGTGCAGCACGGCGGAGGACGTGGTGCTACCGCCGCTGCAGAGCGCGAGCATGAGCCTGCCCTTCCAGTCCGACCTCCCCGCAGGCGGCACCACCGCCATCCAACCCCTGCAGGTGCGCCCTCCGCCCCTCGTCCTCGCCTCTCGCCCTCCCCTTCTACCTGCCTCTTTCTCCTTTTCAGACTCTCCTTTTTAAACATCCGCCACACGTTTTGCCCGCCCCTGCCATGTCCATTCACCTCCGTTTCCCCATCTCCACCTCCCCACCCGCAACCGTATCCCTCACCCGCGGCAAGCAGGCAGCGTCATTGGGGGTGCAGTCAGCGGCGGTAAGCGAGGCAATGGAGCTGCTGCTGGGGCGCGCGGAGGGGGCGGCGGAGGGCAGCGTGGCGGAGCAGGCAGCGTTCCTGCGCAATGTGCTGGTGGCGGGCATAGGAGTGGCCGCGCTGCCGCTCATCCTGCCCATGCAGATGTCCTCCACTGTTGTCGCCACCGCTCCCTCTGTCACTGCTCCCCAGGTACGCACAGGCTGCCATGGGCTGCACACCCGCGTTGTCACACAGGGGCAAGGTGGGACGGGGAAGCAGAAGCGAGTGGAGAGGTGGTGATATGCTGTATTGGGCTGGTGAGCCACTGAGGGGTCGATTGGTGTTGGTGAGCTGCGAGCCATGAAGGAGAGGTGGCCTTGTGACAAGGTCCAGTGGAAATGGTGGTGAGTGGAGCATAAGGTCAACCAAGAGCGCCACAAGGACGGGCATCTGAAATGATGGTGCAACAGGCTGCAATGCAAGCATGAGCTCTCACAGCTGCCAACCTCCACTGACTGCATCCCCTGCTTTCTTTCCCGCCGCAGGTTGTTGTGCCACCACCTCCTGCCGAGCCTGAACCTGAGGTTCGGGCGCTGTCTGCTGAGGAGTTTTGCGCATCCCTGCCGTCGTCCCTGCTGTCACCAGAAGCGGCCAAGTTCTGCCAAGCAGTCAAGGACATTGGCCTCTGAACACAGGCCACTCCACGCCTCTCTGCCTCACAAGCGGTTGTGCAATGACGTCCCCACACGCGCATCTGCAAGGCTCAAGCCGGTGATATTCAGCTGGTACTTCCCTCGCTGTCGGCATGATGTAGTCGGCTTTTACCCTAGAAGGAAACATAGTGGAGTTAATTGTGTGCGTTGCCAATGAGTGATTGATATTACGGGTACTGTTGAGCATTATTGTGTGACTGGCATGGGTCCAGTGTGTGCAGGGTTATTGATGAGCATGAGGTGCACCAACCGTTCTACATGGCCCTGCAAGCTCGTAGCTTAGACACAAAGCACCAACATGATTTACCACACCAGGTTGGTGAAGACTTTGGCGTTATAAATAACTCCTATGGTATTTATGGGTACAACTGCCTGAAAGTTGGCTTGGCACATGAGCTCTCTTTCTTGCAGTATACCTATGATACTTTGCACTGTAACCAATGATACTTGCACTGCACGTCAGAGCGGCTTCACTGTTATTAAGTGTTCAGCAGGCCTCTGGATAGGATTTGAACCAGTCTTTGTCATAAGGGTAACCAGCTGCTTTCACTCTTTCTGTAAGGGTATCAAGCAAGCACCACTCTTTTTTGTAAGGGTTTACACCAAGCAAGAACGTTTTATTTTACATAACTAGTGGTCCATTAGCGTGGCGACTTAGCGCAGTGGGTCTTGTTGTGAAAGGGACGCGGGATCGATACTTGTCGGAGGCATTTAGTCAGCATTGCTTTCCATTGGACTCTGTTCTTCGAGCTATTTCTCTACTTTTTGAGGAGGATGTATGTTCCCGATCAGTGCGACTACACCACTTCACTCTGAAATATCAGGGTCCTAAACAAATTCACTTTTTCCTGTAAGTGTTAGAAAAAAATCCACTTTGTAAAGTAAGGGTCCAAATCAAAACACACCCTTATAGTAAGGGTCATAAGGGTGAATCACCCTTATGGTTCAGGTAAGGGTGTCGAGCAAAATTCAACTCCGTATGACAAGCTCTCTACAGCCAAGGTCTGGTGGCAACAACAGCTTGTTGTTTGACATGCCGATATTTAAAGCTGGTGCTGCAAACAGCAGGTTATGTCACACGAAACCCGTGACTGAATCCTCGTCTATGCACACAGGCAGCAGTGCAGCATCCACAGCTGCGACCTCCTTCCCCTCTTCATCCCCAACCACAGCATCCTGTGCGGCTACAGTGACACTGGTGGTCTCATGGGGCTGGCGGGTACGGTCTCCTCCTGGAGGTTCACACTGTGAGGCATGGGTGGTGACACCCATGCGTGGGGGCAGTGTGAAGGGGTTAGGGGCCGTGTGTGGAGACCGTGTGCTGTGTGTGACGGGTGCTGTGGGTGTGGCCGCTCCTCCAGTGCCCATGGCCAGGGCACATGCGCGCAGCGCTTCCACCTCCTTCTCTAGCTCCTCCTTCTGTGCCTCGCTCTGCTGCATCTGCTGACTCAGCTCAACCACTTGCTGACTCAAATCAGCATTCTCCCGCTGCAGTGATGAGGTCTGCCGGTCAGAGGGGACAAGCAGTGTGAGAAAGCAGGGGCATGACTTGGGGTGGCCAGACTAGAGGCGAAATGAGAGGTACTGGCGAGCACGTCAAACTGGGAAAAATGGACAGGCCGGATTCTGTTGCGCATCAAGGACCGGGTCTATTAAGAAGCACAGAGTGAGAGCGAGCGAGGAAGGTGTGAGTGGAAGTGGCAGAGCTCACCAGGACCTCCAGCTCCTGCAGGCGGCGCTGCCGCTTGATGCGCGCCCTCTTGGCCGACTCGCGGTTGCTCTTCATCCTGTTCACATGACGTGGTTCGAACCCATTCGGGAACACAAACAATAAGTAAAGAGATTCGAGTGGAAAGGGCTCGAGCACGTACATATGCAAATGACAGCAGCAGGCAGCGTCACCTTCTCATTCGCCTGCTCCATTCCAGAGCAAGGTCGTCGCTGTTCGCCCCTGCCACCTCCGTCTCCTCTGCTGCCGCACTGCTGCATCGTGCAGCAACCATGGCATGTCCTCCCGAGGTCCCATCCATGAACGCTCCATCCTCCATGCCCGCGTGCCCCCAGGCATCGTCAACATCGTCCCCATCACTCCCACTGCTCGCTCCTTCCTCTCCTCCAACTCTGCCTCTTCCCAAGATCCCGCCTCTTAATCCCAAACTTCCTGTACTCTTCATCTCTTTCCCACCCATAATCACGCCTCGCCCAATCAAGCTTGAACCCATCATCCCCATCTCATGTCTCCATTTCCCTCCCCTTACTTCCGCCATACCACCTCCTCCTGCCTTGTCGACTTTCTCTTTACCACTGTCTCCAAGCCCAAAATCACGTGTCCCCAGGCTTACACTGCCCTCAAGGCATGCGTCGCCTTTTTGCTTTGCTGCCTCCTCCAGCGCCCTTTGTGCTTGCGCCGCGTGTGCCTCTGCCCCTACCTGCATGCTGCTCTGCCTAACGATTGTCGCCACAAGCCCTCCCCCTTCTCGCCCCTCCTCCTCCCGCCCTTGCGCCACTGACCCCTCCAATACACCGAATTGCCACGCATCCCCAGGGCTCTGTGCGTTCCGATTGCTCTGCTGCATTGCACCAAGGGCAATAGTGGCGTTTGGAGGAGGAAAGAGTTGCACAAGTAGATAAAGCATGTCGACACACTTACTTGGCGACAAGTTACCGTACCCCGCGCAGCAGCAGATGGTGTGAATGGCATGATAGCCTCACGGAGTTGGGCGGATTTTACTAGAAAATAAAGATGGGACGCATAGAACAAATTTCCATGGGCATGGGAGTCACAGGATAGGAGCCACGGGGATGATTGGGATGGGGATGAGGATGTGGATCGGGAACAAAACGCAGCCATGCACCCACCTGCATTGCTCGGCTTTCTTGCATGCCATCACCCTGAGCCTTCTGATGCAGAGTCGGCTCAAGTTGCCTCATCAGCTGTGGGCGCTGTTGGCCTTGCTGCTGCTGCTGCTGCTGCTGTCCGATTTGCTGCTGCAGGCCGTCGCCTCTAGGCCGTGCCAGTGTGGAGAAGTCACCGACAGCGAGCAGGCCTTGCAACGCCATCATCTGCTGCGCCATGAGTTCCTTGTCGCTGTGCCACGCACGGCCCGCCTCACCCTGCACTCTCGCCGCCTCTCCCTGCTCGCGCCCTCCTGCCCCCATGGCTGCCGACCATGCCTCCATCTGCGCACCCTTGTCCACTCCACCATCGCGTGCGCTCATCCCCCCGGCCTCCTTCTGCTCCTGCAGCCCCAGCTGCTGCATCCACAGCTGCTGCAGCAGCGCATCCTTCCCCACATGATTCGCCATCCGCGGCTCCACGACTCCCGATGCGTGCCCCTTTCTCAGTCCCCACGAAGTCGAGCATGACGTCAGCCCGGCGTTTGCGAGCGTCTGCCCCGCTCCTGGCACCAGCATACGGCAGCCGGTCATGCCCTGCGTCAACACATCGCCTCCTCCTGCCTCCGTCGCCCATTCTCCCACGGCTCGAACCGCCCTGCCAATTGGCGTTACATGCAGACCTTGCGCGGCGGAATTTTCCATCGCATTCACTCCTGTAGCTCCTGGCACTACTGCTCTTTGACCTCTGCCCTCCACCGCCGCGTTGGTGGTTGCTGGCCGTTGTGGGTCAAGTGCATCCGTGGCAGCAGATGCCCGCTCAGATGGTTCCGCGCCCGCTACAGAAGCACCCGCGCCTGACTGATCATTGGGTTGAGCCCCAAGACCGGCTCCGCCATTAGCCCCCACTTGCACTGGGCTACGGACCATCTGGAAAGTGCAGCTGGGGCTAGAAGGTACCCTATTCTGTCCCAGTAATCTCGGGCGCGCTGCTTGGGTGCTGCCATCGTGAATTGCCGTCGCGGACCCCGGCAATCGCTGGGAGGGGCTGTGGGAAGAAACCGGAAGGCTGGAAGCGGTCATGAAGCGAGAGAGCGAGTCCAAGGACGACGCGCTGGCCGATGTCGCGGCTACTGCTGCCGTCAACATCCCCGCAGCTGCCGAGGCAGCGTTCTCGGGACAGTTGGAAAGGAGCATCGCAGCAACGTTATTAGTGGAGTGCATGGGTTCCGACCTTCCACCCATTACAACGCTGTTCAACGGATGCAACGTAGGCAAGCGACTGGAGGAAACGGCCGAGGCCGGTGCCAAGGTCGCGCTGAGAGATCCACGCTCAGCCGAAGCGACGTCAGCGACACGGGAGAAGTCGGGGATGCGGAATTCTGGACCAATTGCATACTCATTACTACCTTGATCCCTGCTCATCATTACAGGTCCCGCCATTAATGCCATGTCGCACAGCTCCGAACCCAATTCAGCTGCAGTGCCACACAACATAGCTCCATCAGCAGACTTCGGAACCTCGCGTGATCCTCCGACTCGTGGACCTGTTGAGGCGGTATTGAAAAAGTCGCCAACTAGTCGCCGATGCTCCTCTTCCACGGCTGCGAGCGCCGCGGCCGCGAGATTTTCTGACAAACGATTTTGCATAGAGGTTACTGACGTGGTAGTTTTACTGAGTTTTGGAAAATCAGGCTGAGTAGGCCGTGACATTGCTCAATGACCACAACAGATTCTGTTGACATTTGACGATCACGCATTGCACCACTTGTTTTAGCTTGGAACGGCATTCACATATGTGATAACGAAAGCATCATAGGCCATGGCGGGGTACGTCCAGAAGCTTAACACGCAAGACGTGGAACCCTCTTACATCGTTCAATCCACTACACCGTAACACACGAGGCCCGCTGTTTGGCGACGAGATGCCATGGCTGAAAGGTCAAATGGACCGCGCTACTTCTCTCCCCTTCCCACGAAAACGACCAGGAGAGGAAGCAATGGCACTGACCAAACTGGGCGCGGAACGCCATTGTAAGAAGGCCAATTTTATTGGCGGGCAAGTTCATGGCCGCGGCTAATATTATAGCCGCGGCCCATGGGCAGATGTTAAAGTGTCATTGACTGGCACGGCCATTGCATGGCCTACGAACCTAAGAGCGGGACGGAAGACGGAAACACTCAAAAAGTGACTGTCGCATGAACAAAGGTGGGCAGTGGCCGGCGAACACAACAGTGCGACCTGAACTCGTGGACACCGTGCATTTGGGTCCTACCCGCTCGTTGCTGTGCTGGGCAAGGTGTGAGAAATCAGTTGCGCTGTCGAAGCGCGATGTTCTCGACGTGGTGTGCGCCTTGCCACATTCTGGCAAGGTGATTTGCTTGCTGGCAGAAGTTGAGGGCGGGTTGGACGGCGTGTGCAGCGCTGGCAAGTACGAGCCCGAGAAGCCATGCAGCAATTATGAATGGATGGTGTGAGGGAAGTTCCCCCAATGGGGACACGGACAACCTTTCGCCGCGTCAGGCTGAGCCAATGAATGAGAAGAGTTAGGTCCAACGCACTCTACAGCTCAAGGCACATGGAGGCCCGCATGGCGCCTCGACCTCGTCCTCTTGATGAAGAATACACACCTGCCAATACCTCCCAGGGACAAAGTACATATTTTTGAAAGGAATTCCTTTTATTTTATCCTAATTGTACCATACTACATACATTTATCTATCTTTTTTCCAACTGCAATCAGAGAGTCTATTTACTACCAGGATTGCAATATTGCATCCAGATGCATACCATATTAAAAGCACGCATTCATAATCGGAACGCTTAGCTCACAATCCGCACATTGATCATAATCTGAGGTCAATAGGGCTTAAGAGGATGGCAATAGAATTGGAGAAAAGGAAAGCTTGCACGTTTTGACCCCAAATTTCTGAAAGTTAAGATTCGAGCCATATATTTCTTCTCATTCTAGTATCGCCGGAGCTATTACACACAAAATTGCCGATTTTTTTGTGTCAAATGTTGTTTTTATGTTCGTTAGGATTCTAGCATATAGTGAAGTTCACAGTAGGGGGTACATCATTCTCTTGACACTTGATTTGTACTCCCTTTCCTTTACTACTCAATCTTTTCGCTGTTCAACTTCTAAGATGGTATGACAAGTAGGTACGCTCCCAGCCTAACCTAGCCTGCCCGCGTTTCGTCGCTCTGCAGTCGCTCCGTCACTCCGTAGTAGCCTACCCTACGTAGCGCGCGCCACCCAGCAAAGCAGCATGCGCCACCCTGCAGAGCAGCGCGCGCCTCCCAGCATAGCTACGCGCCCCCCTGCAGAGCAGCGTGCGACACTGCAGAGCAGCGCGCAACCTTACAGAACAGCGCGCGCCACCCTACGGAGCAGCGCGCGCCCTAGCAGAGAAGCACACGCCACCCATCAGAGTAGCGCGCGCTCCGGCAGAGCAGCGCGCGTGCGCCCAAGCAGAGCAGTGCGCGCCACCCACTTCGACAGCACGCACCCGCGCCTTAATTACCTACGGCCCACCTTGCAGCCAGCAGCCGTGCCCATTGTCTCCAACATGCCTACTACCATTGGCATCTCTAGCGGTGGCTGGCAGCCGAAGTTTCTTCTAGTAGCGCGGATTAGAGTTAGTACCCCGACGAAACTGGCGTTCCTAGCCCTTGTCACTCCTCGCTCCAGACGCTCCTCGTGCCGGCCGCTCCTCGTGCTGGCCGTTCCTGGCCTAGCGGTCCTAGCTGTTCCTACTTACAGCCAGTCCTTGCTGCAGCCACATCTGCTCTAGCAGCTCCTAGCTGCAGCCGTTCCTAGCTCCAGCCGTTTTTAGCCCTAGCTTGCCATTCCTTGTCACATCGTGCTCCGGCTCTTCTTAGCACCAGCCGTTCCTCCCTCTAGCAGTTCCTAACTCCAGCCACTCCTGCTCCAGCGGTTCCTCGCGCCTGTTGCCCAGCTAGCCCTTTACCACGCCTAATATGAGCGTACGTGAAACAATAATTAAAGATTGAGGCTATTACGGGTGATATGTAGTGAAAAAAACTACCCGTAAGAGAGTTGGAACGGAGCAATTTATAGAAAAAAGTAATAAAGAGATTAGGTTGTTGTCAACTGAGCTTAAAGACTCTAATTATTCAAATACCCCAGCACTTGAGCTAGCATGAAAAATTCATTCCATTAATATCAAAGAGATTAAAACTTTAATCGGAGTTGATGTATTTATAGAAATGAACGTTCACTGCACTCACGACGTGACTGCAATAATTGCAAGGCTAGGTTTTAAATATTTAGGTCTAAAGACAATAATCACAAAAATCTAAAGCCGATGACCGATGATGCTTGCAACCCTCCCACGCCCTTGCTGGCTTGGCAAGAGGACCAGACAAGCGCAGCCACGTAACTTGGTGGAAGAAAAACGCTTGGAATGAGCGCTTCTACCCCCAAAATGCTGAAGGATCCGCATTCGTGCAGGAAGTGCAGCGGGCGCTCTTCATTTGCGAGCACCGATGACCGATGATGCTCGCAACCCTCCCACGCCCTTGCTGGCTTGGCAAGAGGACCAGAGAAGCGCAGCCACGTGACTTGGCGGAAGAAAAACGCTTGGAATGAGCGCTTCTACCCCCAAAGTGCCTAAGGATTTGCATTCGTGCAAGAAGTGCAACGGGCGCTTTTCATTTGTAAGCGCCGATGACCGATGATGCTCGCAACCCTCCCACGCCCTTGTTGGCTTGGCAAGAGGACCAGACAAGCGCAGCCACGTGATCTGTTGGAAGAAAAACGCTCGGAATGAGCGCTACCACCCCCAAAACGCGGAAGGATCCGCACATGTGCATGAAGTGCAGCGGGCTGCGCCAGGCCTGCGCGCGGCCCGTACGGGCTGCGCCAGGCCCGCGCGCGGCCCGTACGGGCTGCGCCAGGCCCGCGCGCGGCCCGTACGGGCTGCGCCAGGCACGCGCGCGGCCCGTACGGGCTGCGCCAGTCCCGCGCGCGGCTCGGACCGCCTGCGCGCGGTTCGGGAGGCTGTGCCAGGCCCGTGGGCGCCCCGTTCTTCGCTGCCCCTGTCCTCCCCGCTGTCCCCCGTGCTTCTGAAGGCGCCCCACCCCTCCTTCTGCCCGTTCTCCTGGATTAGGGTTTGGGGTTGGGGGGTATGGGGGTGCAGCTTCTGTGTGCCGTTCCCTGCTCCTCCTCCTCCTCCGTCTCCCTGTGCTGCAGCTGCCGCTGAGGGGGGTGGACCTGTTGGAGCCGTCGGAGTGGTACTAAGGGGGGGTGAAGGGGGAGTGGAGCTAGCGGTGTAGCAGCGGGTGTGTGTCGAGGGATGTGGGACTGTTGGGGGAGGTTGAGGGGAGGTTGCCGTCGTGTCGTACGCAGCGCCTGTACTCCGGGGCACTCACTCCCGGTAGCTCAGAGAGCCGGTTGCGCCGTCGCCTGTGGGTCCGTTGCTCCTGCTGCTCGTCTTAGCCGCGGAGCCTGTTACTCCTGTACTCCGGGGCACTCACTCCCGGTAGCCACTGTGTCGCACCAGAGCCGTCTGTTGCCCGTGTGACTGCAGCTTCAGTCGTCGCCTCCCATCTACTCTCCTCTCGCCAGCCCTCCTCCTCCTCACTTCCCCGTTGTGACTACCACTAGCTTTGCTCATAATTGTGAACTTTAAACTATTGCTTCTTAAACTTGTGAAAAGAATGTGTGGTGACATTGTGATCCACCCTGAGCTTGTACTGCTTTGCTTGCTCTGCTGATTACACCCCACTTTGGCTATGGGGGTGTGTCAGAATATTATGCTCTAGCCTGTAGTGGGGTGCTCTGTAGCGAGTACAACCCTTCTAGGGTTTGCTATTTGTATCCCCATTCTTGCTAGTGCAACCCCCCTCTTTCGCCTAAACTCTCTTGCCTAGCTAGGACTCTCCTAGCTATGGCTCCTAAGACTACCGCTTATCTCAACAGGGCGCTCTTCATTCGCGAGCGCCGATGACCGATGATGCTCGCAACCCTTCCACGCCCTTGCTGGCTTGGCAATAGGACCAGACAAGCGCAACCACGTGACTTGGCAGTAGAAAAACGCATCAAATTAGCGCTTCTACCCCCAAAATGCTGAAGGATCCGCATATGTGCAGGAAGTGCAGTGGGCGCTCTTCATTCGCGAGCGCCAATGACCGATGATGCTTGCAACCCTCCCACGCCCTTGCTGGCTGGGCAAGAGGACCAGACAAGCGCAGCCACATGACCCGGCGGAAGAAAAACGCTTAGAACAAGTGCTTTCACCCCCAAAACGCGGAAGGATCCGCACACCTTCAGGAAGTGCAACGGGCACTCTTCATTCGCGAGCGCCGATGACCGATGATGCTCGCAACCCTCCCACGCCTTTGCCAGCTTGGCTATAGAACCAGACAAGCACAGCCACGTGACCCGGCGGAAGAAAAACGCTCGAAACGAGCGCTTCCAGCCCCAAAACGCGGAAGGATCCGCACGTGTGCAGGAAGTGCAGCGGGCGCTCTTCATTTGCGAGCGCCGATGACCGATGATGCTCGCAACCCTCCCACGCCCTTGCTAGCTTGGCAATAGGACCAGACAAGCGCAGCCACGTGACCCGGCGGAAGAAAAACGCTCAGAACGAGCGCTTCCACCCCCAAAACGCGGAAGGATCCGTATTCGTGCAGAAAGTGCAGCGGGCGCTCTTCATTCGCGAGCGCCGATGACCGATGATGCTTG